AAAGGGAGAGGGATATTGAAAGGTCGTTGCATGGTATATTATGTTTCTATAGGTTAACATATCTGCATGGTATATGATGTTTCTATAGGTTAACATATCTGCATGGTATATGATGTTTCTATAGGTTAACAGACCTGCATGGTATATAATGTTTCTATAGGTTAACATGTCTGAGCCCCATAAACAGCTGGGGCACGATGCGACAGTTCAATACGAGCACACACTACACTACCCTTCACAACGCATCACATGCAACCCTCAAACACTTGTCCCTGAATCTAGTTTCAATATGTGCAGATATGTATACATCCTAATGAGGCTGCTCCAAACTCAGACCTGTTTTCTCGTGCGTATCACGAGAGGCTGCAGCATAGGTCACGTCTGCAGCCGATATGATGTAGCATGTTACCATGTCCTTTCCTTAAGACTATATTTGAACCGACAAAGTTTAACAGCAACACTAAAATACCATGAGTTGGAGGGCAGAGAGGAATGCTTGATCGCACAGTTCGTCATGTGATATTCAGCAGTGTGCTCCGCGTACCAGTATCTGAGGAGATGGATGTTTCATAGTTACCAATACTGCAGAGGAATGGGATGGTTCAATTAGCCAATATGCAGAAGAACGGACTGGTCACATAGCATACTGCAGGGAGAAGGGACTGGTCTCATAGCAAACTGCAGATGAGAGGGCACTGTCTATTAGCACAGTACTGCAGAGGAAGGACTGAGTCACATTAGCCACATACGCAGGGAGAACGGACTGGTCTCATAGCCAATATGCAAGAAAGGACTGGTCCACATTAGCATACTGCAGGAGAATGGTACGGTCTCATTAGGCCATCTGCAGAGAAAGGGACTGGTTTCACGCTATGCCAATACTGCAGGGAAGGACTGTCTAGCAATACGCAGAGAGAAGGGACTGGTACATTAGCCAATTCCGCAGGAGAGGGATGTTCATCTAGACCAATACTGCAAGAAAGGGATGTACATTAGCCAAACTGCAGGGAGAAGGGATGTCTCATAGCCATACTGCAGAGAGAAGGGACCTGGTCTCATAGCCAATTCTGCAGAGACAGGACTGGTCACATTAGCCAATACTGCTTGGAGAAGGGACTGGTCCATTAGCCAATACTGCAGAGAGAAGGGACTGGTCACATTAGCCAATACTGCAGGGAGAAGGGACTGGTCTCATTAGCCAATACTGCAGAGAGAAGGGACTGGTCACATTAGCCAATACTGCAGGGAGAAGGGACTGGTCTCATTAGCCAATACTGCAGAGAGAAGGGACTGGTCACATTAGCCAATACTGCAGGGAGAAGGGACTGGTCCATTAGCCAATACTGCAGAGAGAAGGGACTGGTCACATTAGCCAATACTGCAGGGAGAAGGGACTGGTCTCATTAGCCAATACTGCAGAGAGAAGGGACATGGTCACATTAGCCAATACTGCAGGGAGAGAGGGACTGGTCTCATTAGCCAATACTGCAGAGGAGAAGGGACTGGTCACATTAGCCAATACTGCAGGGAGAAGGGACTGGTCACATTAGCCAATACTGCAGGGAGAAGGGACTGGTCACATTAGCCAATACTGCAGGAGAAGGGACTGGTCACATTAGCCATACTGCAGGGAGAAGGGACTGGTCTCATTAGCCAATACTGCAGGGAGAAGGGACTGGTCACATTAGCCAATACTGCAGGGAGAAGGGACTGGTCTCATTAGCCAATACTGCAGGGAGAAGGGACTGGTCACATTAGCCAATACTGCAGGGAGAAGGGACTGGTCTCATTAGCCAGTACTGCAGGGAGAAGGGACTGGTCTCATTAGCCAATACTGCAGAGAGAAGGGACTGGTCACATTAGCCAATACTGCAGGGAGAAGGGACTGGTCTCATTAGCCAATACTGCAGAGAGAAGGGACTGGTCACATTAGCCAATACTGCAGGGAGAAGGGACTGGTCTCATTAGCCAATACTGCAGAGAGAAGGGACTGGTCTCATTAGCCAGTACTGCAGGGAGAAGGGACTGGTCTCATTAGCCAATACTGCAGAGAGAAGGGACTGGTCTCATTAGCCAATACTGCAGGGAGAAGGGACTGGTCTCATTAGCCAGTACTGCAGGGAGAAGGGACTGGTCACATTAGCCAATACTGCAGGGAGAAGGGACTGGTCACATTAGCCAGTACTGCAGGGAGAAGGGACTGGTCTCATTAGCCAATACTGCAGGGAGAAGGGACTGGTCACATTAGCCAATACTGCAGAGAGAAGGGACTGGTCACATTAGCCAATACTGCAGGGAGAAGGGACTGGTCTCATTAGCCAGTACTGCAGGGAGAAGGGACTGGTCACATTAGCCACACACATAGGAAGCGTCCCAAATGGCACCCTATTCCCTACATAGTGCACTACTCACTCTCTATAGGTCTCTGGTCCAAAGCAGTGCACTACATTGGGAATAGAGTGCCATTTGGGATGCAGCCATAGACACTCTGAGGGCAGTCTGAGAATAAGCTGGAAAACCACTTTCCCCTCTTCAGTCCTGCTTTGGTCCAGGACGGTCAATATTCAGACTATGACAGAGAGAAGGAAGCGCCAATGTAGTCATAGTCTATTCCCTCACTGTACAGAGCGGAAACCATGCTGCCTACACACACCCTAGTGTGGACAGTATGCATGCATGCAAACACACATACAGACACAGGCACCCAAAATGCATACACACACGCACTCACGCACACATTTACACACACTGAAAATAACCTTATTCTGTTATTTTAATTCTACCTGCCTAATAAACAGGGCGGTAAATCAGGATAGGGGCTAGGCTATGGGGGGAAGGTAGGGATGAGGGCGGGGGACAGAGGGGCGGGGGACAGAGGGACATGCAGCGTGGCTCAGGAAGAACAGCTGATTTACATCATCTCCAGGAGCATCATAAACCTGCTAAAGCCCTGCTGGACAATGGCAGAGTACAGGGAACTGGGACACACACACACATACAGTATATGCACATGCATAAACAGTACGCTCACATGCATATGCACCTGCATGTACACAGATGTCTCTCCCAGCCAGATGTCTTTGTAGACAAACAATGTTCATATACAGTGGGGGGAAAAAGTATTTAGTCAGCCACCAATTGTGCATGTTCTCCCACTTAAAAAGATGAGAGAGGCCTGTAATTTTCATCATAGGTACACGTCAACTATGACAGACAAATTGAGGGAAAAAAATCCAGAAAATCACATTGTAGGATTTTTTATGAATTTATTTGCAAATTATGGTGGAAAATAAGTATTTGGTCACCTACAAACAAGCAAGATTTCTGGCTCTCACAGACCTGTAACTTCTTCTTTAAGAGGCTCCTCTGTCCTCCACTCGTTACCTGTATTAATGGCACCTGTTTGAACATGTTATCAGTATAAAAGACACCTGTCCACAACCTCAAACAGTCACACTCCAAACTCCACTATGGCCAAGACCAAAGAGCTGTCAAAGGACACCAGAAACAAAATTGTAGACCTGCACCAGGCTGGGAAGACTGAATCTGCAATAGTTAAGCAGCTTGGTTTGAAGAAATCAACTGTGGGAGCAATTATTAGGAAATGGAAGACATACAAGACCACTGATAATCTCCCTCGATCTGGGGCTCCACACAAGATCTCACCCCGTGGGGTCAAAATGATCACAAGACCGGTGAGCAAAAATCCCAGAACCACACGGGGGGACCTAGTGAATGACCTGCAGAGAGCTGGGACCAAAGTAACAAAGCCTACCATCAGTAACACACTACGCCGCCAGGGACTCAAATCCTGCAGTGCCAGACGTGTCCCCCTGCTTAAGCCAGTACATGTCCAGGCCTGTCTGAAGTTTGCTAGAGTGCATTTGGATGATCCAGAAGAGGATTGGGAGAATGTCATATGGTCAGATGAAACCAAAATAGAACTTTTTGGTAAAAACTCAACTCGTCGTGTTTGGAGGACAAAGAATGCTGAGTTGCATCCAAAGAACACCATACCTACTGTGAAGCATGGGGGTGGAAACATCATGCTTTGGGGCTGTTTTTCTGCAAAGGGACCAGGACGACTGATCCGTGTAAAGGAAAGAATGAATGGGGCCATGTATCGTGAGATTTTGAGTGAAAACCTCCTTCCATCAGCAAGGGCATTGAAGATGAAACGTGGCTGGGTCTTTCAGCATGACAATGATCCCAAACACACCGCCCGGGCAACGAAGGAGTGGCTTCGTAAGAAGCATTTCAAGGTCCTGGAGTGGCCTAGCCAGTCTCCAGATCTCAACCCCATAGAAAATCTTTGGAGGGAGTTGAAAGTCTGTGTTGCCCAGCGACAGCCCCAAAACATCACTGCTCTAGAGGAGATCTGCATGGAGGAATGGGCCAAAATACCAGCAACAGTGTGTGAAAAGACTTACAGAAAACGTTTGACCTGTGTCATTGCCAACAAAGGGTATATAACAAAGTATTGAGAAACTTTTGTTATTGACCAAATACTTGTTTTCCACCATAATTTGCAAATAAATTCATAAAAAATCCTACAATGGGATTTTCTTGATTTTTTTTCTCTCATTTTGTCTGTCATAGTTGATGTGTACCTATGATGAAAATTACAGGCCTCTCTCATCTTTTTAAGTGGGAGAACTTGCACAATTGGTGGCTGACTAAATACTTTTTCCCCCACTGTATGGTATGGGCCACTCTCCCAGCCAGTCTGCAAGCGTTATGTCTATCCTTAGAATGTGAGCCATGTTTATTTTGGACCAGGGTCTTATGCAGACATTACAGTGACAGTGATGAATGCTAACAGTTCGATGGCCTCTACCCTCTACCTTGCCCTCTGACTGCCCCTGCCCTGACACACATACACCTGATGATCAGTTTACCGAACTGCCCCAAATCCTGACCTGGAGTCTTAGGGTCGTGACTCCCTAAAAACATGCCACTTCGATACAGCTACGACCGGAAGTGACTTTTCGTTGCAGGTTAGGAGAGCATTTTCGCTAACCCTAACCCTTTTCCTGTTGAGGACACTTTCGATTGACACTTGTCTTCTCTCTGTGTCCACTTTAGATGATGTCATCGGAACTCCTGTCCTTTTGTTGGCTGCAACAGCTGCTGGTGGTGCTCCTGAAGCTCACCCTGTCCTCCGCCGGACCGACCAATTGGACAGAGTGTACGGCTAGAGGTCCTGCCTCCTACATCCTGGTCTTTACGGGTCACTGGAGCCCCCAGACGTTCCCTAAACAGTACCCACTGTTCCGTCCCCCTGCACAGTGGTCCAAACTCATAGGTAAGATGAGCCACCAACTCAGTCTAAAATCAGGCCCTAGCCACTACCAGACACTTCATGAAACCCCTTTGATGATCAGAAAGAAGTGGATGTGAACACATACAGCATAAACTCCTTACAGTATTCCAAACCATATTGGTAGTGTCTCAATGACATATAATGGCCTCCTCTCTTTGCCTTTTTCCCCTCATAACAACTGGTTGGTGAAAGGAAAGGACACTCATCACTCAAGTCCTTTCACATCAGGGCTCCCAATTAAAAAGGGGGAATGAGGGGGGCTATTTTGAGAGAGAGAGAGAGAGAGAGGAGGAGGGGGGGGGGGGGGAGGGAGAGAGAGAGGAGGAGGAGGAGGAGGGGGGGGGGAAGAGAGAGAGAGACTGAGACTCAAGGAACTCTTGTGGTGAGTTGACAGGCCAGGTAAATACAAAGGCTGCTTTGTCCTCAGCAGGCTTAGGTCGAGCCTTGAGAGTGGCATGTCTCCATTTGTGGTCATACCCCCCCCCCCCCCCGCTTCAGAGAGCTGATCAGGGATAGTAGACCAGTCAGGGATACTGGCTCGACCTTCTCCTTTCCACACCTGATCATGTGTTGCGAGGTTTGAGGGCTCACAGCTGGCCAGTTATCCCGCCTCTCAAAAGAGAGAGAGTGGTGAGGCTAAATACTGCCAGATGATGCAGGGCGGGTACCTATCTCTCTCTCTCTCTCTCTCTCTCTCTCTCTCTCTCTCTCCTTCTCTCTCGCCTTCTTCTCTCCATCTGGGGGCTGCTGGGGTCCTGGAGGCATATGGGGGCTAAGATGGTTTTTAGGGTGTGGTGGGGTCAGATGGCTTACCTCACTCAGGGAGGGGGGAAGCTCTGCTGCTCTGCCTTGCCAACATGGATGGATGGCAGATGTGTGTATGTGCCAGAGATGTGTGTATGTGCCAGAGATGTGTGCGGGTGCCACACTTGCTCTCTGCATCACTGTCTGTGGCCGCTGTTGGTTTGTCTGGCTTCCAGAACTCCCAGCCATGCCCTGTCAGCCTGCCAGAGGGTGATGGCCTGTTTCTGCATATAGAGACCATAACCGTACACATAGTGTAGGCCCTGGGGACAAGGACATGTCTCTGATGGCTTTAGACTGGAGGGGACCAGGGGGTCAGGGACATGGGACAAGGGAAGAAAGTTTGGGAGTTAGGGGTCTAGGAGTTGAGGAGGGGGATCGTTCATTTGCAAGAAGAATTTGAAACGTGACGTATTATTATTGAGTTTCAGGGACTTGACGCTTGTGGGAAACCTGTTAGTATGGAAATTAAATTAAGTGTGTAAGTGACAGTGGTTGAGGGGAAACAGGATAGTGTGTGATGTGTGTTTTTTGGGTACATTGGGAGTGTGTGTGTACATGCGTGCGTGTGGTGAGGTAAGGCAGAGATGTTATGAGACAGACTGAGACTGTGTGGTCGTTAGTTCGTCTGGCTGACCCTCTGCAAGCCTTACAACCAGGTCACGCGTGGCTTATAATGGGGAGTGACAGGACAAAGAACAGAAATCTGACTCAGAATCAGTTCTTAAGGGCAAAGAGAGAACAAAGGCAATCATCCCTCTCAAAGTAAAGAGAACAGTGGGTCTGTGAGATATCAGAAAGGGGGGGTAAAGATCTTAGTATGAGTAAAGGTCTTGGTATGAGTAAAGATCTTGGTATGCGTAAAGGTCTTGGTATTAGTAAAGATGTTGAATGCAGTGAGATGAACTGATGCTAGATGAAATAATAATGACATTAAGGAAGGAGAGATGTGTTTTCAGAGGATTAGAAAAGAACCTGTCTTCCTGTCCTCTCCCAACAGCTATCACCCATAACAAGCAGCACCGGCTGTTTCAGGAGGGGGCGCTGGCTAGTATAGGGGTGCAGAACTTCGCTGAGGTGGGGGTGACGGTAGAGCTGGTGAAGGGGGCGAAGGATGCCAGGAAGAGACGGGCTGTCGGTGCCATGTACAGAACAGCGGGCATCGCCACTGGCATTGGGCACAGCTCCACAGAACTGCTGCTGCAACCACGGAGCCCACTGGTAGGCATGACACACACACACAGGCACACACACACAGGCACACACACACACACAGGCACACACACACAGGCACACACACAGGCACACACACACACAGGCACACACACACACAGACACAGGCACACACACACACACAGACACAGGCACACACACACATAGACACAGGCACACACACACACACATAGACACAGGCACACACACACACACACACAGACACAGGCACACACACACACACACACACACACACACACACGTTGGTTTTACTATCCAAGTGGGGACCGGAAAATGTATTCCCATTCAAAATCCTATTTTCCCTAACCCTTAACCTAACCCTAAACCTAACCCTAGCTCCTACTCCTAATTCTAACCCTAATTGTAAACCTAACCCTAACTCCTAATCCTAACCCCTTACCCTAATTCTAACCCTAAACCTAACCCATAAGCCTAAAATAGCCTTTTTCCTTTTGGGGACTGGCTAAATGTTTGTTTTTGGAACCCAAAAGGATAGTAAAGTTAGACGGCAGACACACACACACACACACACACACACACACACACACACACACACACACACACACACGTTTTGTTATTCTATCCTAGTGGGGATCTAAAATTAATTTCCATTCAAAATCCTATTTTCCCTAACCCTTACCTTAACCCAAACTATAAACCTAAACCTAACTTCTTACCCTAATTCTAACCCTAATTGTAACCCTAAACCTAACCCCTAAGCTTAAAATAGCCCTTGTCCTCATGGGGATGTGGGAAATGTCCCCACAAGGGAGAATTGTGTGGACTTTGGGGGATTTTAGGTCCCCACAAGGATAGAAAAACCAACACGCAGATGCACACACACACACACACACCACTATTTACACACACGTTATAACTTTCCATAAACCTCTCCACAACCCTTTCCATAGTCCAGTTCCTCTCTCTCTCTAAATATACGGACACGCCATGACTTTATCAACTCTGTTCCGCTCTCCGCTCCCACCACAAAGTCTAAGCAACAACAACTCCTCAACTCAATCCATAGTCAACTCATGACCCGGATGAGGGTGGGGCTGGGACTGGGAGGGATGCTAGCCAGGCTAGGTGGGTTCTAGGCTGCCTGGGGCTGAGGCTGGGACTGGGAGGGATGCTAGCCAGGCTAGGTGGGTTCTAGGCTGCCTGGGGCTGAGGCTGGGACTGGGAGGGATGCTAGCCAGGCTAGGTGGGTTCTAGGCTGCCTGGGGCTAAGGCTGGGACTGGGAGGGATGCTAGCCAGGCTAGGTGGGTTCTAGGCTGCCTGGGGCTGAGGCTGGGACTGGGAGGGATGCTAGCCAGGCTAGGTGGGTTCTAGGCTGCCTGGGGCTGAGGCTGGGACTGGGAGGGATGCTAGCCAGGCTAGGTGGGTTCTAGGCTGCCTGGGGCTGAGGCTGGGACTGGGAGGGATGCTAGCCAGGCTAGGTGGGTTCTAGGCTGCCTGGGGCTGCTGTCTGCTTCTGGTGGATGTTTGTTTTTCCTCGCACTTAGTTGAGGACTGAAGTGGAGAGAGGGGAAGAGAAGGGGAGAGAAGGGGAGAGAAGTGGAAAGGGGAAGAGAAGTGGAAAGAGGGGGGTAGAGAAGTGGAGAGAGGGGAAGAGAGGGGGAGAAGTGGAAGGTGGGTAGTTCCTGGAGGTTTGGAAATGGAAGAGGCACAGTGTGGTGCCTTAGAATAACAGATTGGAAGCTTTAAAAGGAGGGTGGTGCTTGAAATCATTGTTCTTCCTCTGTTAACCATGGTGACCTGCAAGGAAACACGGCCGTCATCATTGCTTTGCACAAAAAGGGCTTCACAGGCAATGATATTGCTGCTAGTAAGATTGCACCTAAATCAACCATTTATCGGATCATCAAGAACTTCAAGGAGAGAGGTTCAATTGTTGTGAAGAAGGCTTCAGGGCGCCCAAGAAAGTCCAGCAAGCGCCAGGACCGTCTCCTAAAGTTGATTCAGCTGTGGGATCGGGGCACCACCAGTGCAGAGCTTGCTCAGGAATGGCAGCAGGCAGGTGTGAGTGCATCTGCACGCACAGTGAGGCAAAGACTTTTGGAGGATGGCCTGGTGTCAAGAAGGGCAGCGAGGAAGCCACTTCTCTCCAGGATAACATCAGCGACAGACTGATATTCTGCAAAAGGTACAGGGATTGGACTGCTGAGGACTGTGGTAAAGTCATTTTCTCTGATGAATCCCCTTTCCGATTGTTTGGGGTAGCCGGAAAACACCTTGTCCGGAGAAGACAAGGTGAGCGCTACCATCAGTCCTGTGTCATGCCAACAGTAAATCATCCTGAGACCATTCATGTGTGGGGTTGCTACTCAGCCAAGGAAGTGGGGTCACTCACAATTTTGCCTAAGAACACAGTCATGAATAAAGAATGGTACCAACACATCCTCCAAGAGCAACTTCTCCCAACCATCCAAGAACAGTTTGGTAATTGATAAAGTAGGAGGAATTCCTGGGAAAAAACAGTTTGAGAGAAGGCTTCAAAAGATGAGAGGAAGAATGGAGGCATATGAGCGAAAGACGGGGGCATATGAGCGAGGGACGGAGGCATATGAGCGAGGGACGGAGGCATATGAGCGAGGGACGGAGGCATATGAGCGAAGGACGGAGGCATATGAGCGAAGGACGGAGGCATATGAGCGAAGGACGGAGGCATATGAGCGAAGGACGGAGGCATATGAGCGAAGGACGGAGGCATATGAGCGAAGGTCGGAGGCATATGAGCGAAGGAAGGAGGCATATGAGCGAAGGAAGGAGGCATATGAGCGAAGGAAGGAGGCATATGAGCGAAGGAAGGAGGCATATGAGCGAGGGACGGAGGCATGTGAGCGAAGGACGGAGGCATATGAGCGAAGGACGGAGGCATATGAGCAAAGGACGGAGGCATATGAGCGAAGGGAATGAGGAGGTCAGACTCTCAAAGCGAATGGAACAGTAGAGATGTCGATAGTCTCTCTGTGTCCTCCTGAGTACTGGGATTCCTCATCCGCTTTTACCTGCTGTTGCTGCTTCCCAGAGGCCCAACTTTCCAAACCACACCACCGTAATGCACTAGTTTAATGTCTGTCCCATCCTACCCCATCCTAGCCCATCATTTTACATTACATTTTAGTCATTTAGCAAAAGCACTTATCCAGAGCGACTTACAGGAGCAATTAGCCTTGTTGAAAGGCACATCGACAGATTTTTCACCTACTCAGCTCGGGGATTGAAACCGGCAACCTTTTGGTTACTGGCCCAACGCACTTAACAGCTAGGCTACCTGGCTCCCCATCCTCCGCCACACTACCTCATCCAAGCCCATCCATCCTCCCCCACACTACCCCAACCAAGCTCATCCATCCTCCCCCATCCAAGCCCGTCCACCCCACCCAATCTTGTCCCAGCCCAGCCCAGCCCAGCCCAGAGCCCTGAATAGCGGCCATTTAACCCCATACAGGAAACAGCGGACACACGTCAGGGTTTTACACAACCAGGACCAATTTTGTCCACCCTTGTGTGTGTTAGCTTCAGCTATAATCCTGTTTTATTAGCACAGCCAATATTACACAAACAGGATCTGAATAGTGTACTGTAACTAAACTCTCTCATTCCCACTCTCCCCCTCCTTTCCTTCCCTCCCTCTCTCTATGGACACAGCTCTCTCTGATGGTGAAAGTGATCCCCAGCCCTGATTGGTTCGTGGGGGTGGACAGTCTCAACCTCTGTGAAGGCGGCCAGTGGAAACAGGAAGTGACCCTTGACCTCCAACCCTTTGACGCGGGAACAGACAGCGGCTTCACGTTCTCCTCACCTAACTACCCCACCGTCCCCCAGGAAAACATCACACGGGTGAGACAGACGACTTCTCCCCTCTTTTCACTTTCACCTTAGGTGGAAAAAGGGCCATGGAGGTTACCCCTTCTTCTATAATGACTAGGCTTTAAATAGACCAAACGTAGCCTGTATAGGGGAGGCGGGCCACCCTCTATTATGTAGGTATACTGCTACCATTACCCTAACATGAAAGACTTGAAAGTGTAGGCCTAATTGAGTTTTTTCCACTAACATAATGTCACAATTCAAGCACACAGCTTTGAATTATTAATAAGTACCGGTAATAATCTGTGATTTTATTTTGTGTTTTAGGGTTTGTTGTTGACAGTTTTCTATATGCTGTTGTCCCCTTCCAGATAACTTCCCAGATGCCCAACCACCCAGCCAACTCCTTCTACTACCCCCGTCTCACAGAGCTCCCGCCCATAGCCTCAATACGGCTAACCAGACAGAGCCGTTCATCCTCCCGTCAAACTCCCATGTCCAATCACATTCTGCCTCAACCTATCCACCCTCAACACTTCTCAGGTAGGTTTACATGGACACGGTCATGTGCATGCCTCTCTTTTAAATCTCTCTCTTTCTCTCTCTCTCTCTGTGTGTTTATCACAATTCAGTGTATTTCTGTGTTATTCATTCACTACATTCTCTCTCTCTCTCTCTCTCTCTCTCTCCCTCTCTCTTTCTATCCACCTCTCAGAGACACCTTTGGACTGTGAGGTGTCTCTGTGGTCGTCCTGGGGTCTGTGTCTGGGGCCCTGCTCCAGGGGAGGGGTCCGCCACCGTACCCGCTACATCCTCCTGTGGCCGGCTAACACTGGAGCCCCCTGTCCTGAGCTGGAGGAACAGACCGAGTGCACGCCACACAACTGCCTGAAGCCCCAGTGACCCATGGTTGAGTAGGGTGAAGTTGCCCCTAGACACTGATCTAAAGTATTTTAGGTTTAGGCCAGTAAGGTTAGGATTCGGTTGGGGACGGTATGCTGATCTTAGAACTGTTCTTAGGGGGAAATTCTAGTTGGAGCAACTCCCATGCCCGTCTCCAAGGTAACACTGGGACTCATACACAGTGCCGGACTCCACAAACAGAAAACAATAATGCAAGCAATGGACTCTTTCACTGCAGAATGCCAGTTTAGTCTTAAATGGAGTTGACTTTTTGATGTGGTCTTGGTATAGAGTACTCTACCAATCTAAATTCCAACCAGTCCTCCAATACTTTTCCTTGAGGACTTGTATTAAGAAACACTGTTGTTGACCGATGACAAGCATCCACATGACAAAAGAGAACAATGACATTATCAGTGGACATGACAAGCATCCACATGACAAAAGAGAACAATGACATTATCAGTGGACATGACAAGCATCCACATGACAAAAGAGAACAATGACATTATCAGTGGACATGAGTGACACAAAGCTATGTAGAGTATGTCCTTGCACATAAATAATACTCTCTTACTTTGTGGAACCTGGGGCATTGATTTACATGGGAATCCTACACGATGCTCAGCTCAGCGCACAGCCATCATTCAACAACCACACAGACAAATTTATAAATACCCTTTTCACAAGACACAACTGAAGGCTAACTATAGCCTGGTACCCCATGTCAGGAAACCCAAGCCAAGTTGGAGCGAGGCGGTTTTATAAAAGAAAAATGGAGACCGTTTTTTTTAGCAGTTATATCTGTTTACTCTCTTTCAATTTGTAGGACACATTTTGTATATACTGTATGTTATGTTGTGTCTTGTGTAACTCATGATGAAATAAATACATATGAAGGTGTTTTCTGTAAATAGAAACGTCTTTGATATTTGGTTTCTGACAATGCCAAGGGAGCTGAACAGCCTTAACGTGTTAGTTATGAAAAGGCCTTGTCCAAATGTGAAACTCCTGTCACACTGAAGAACACCCTTGAATTATGTCTAATAGGAGTTCCAGTAATCCACAAAGACATCCATTTATTTGTATCATGTGTAATTTTAACAGTATTGACACTTCTTTATTGGTCTGGCTAAGGCCTTTACCTACTAAATAAAGACATTAAACGACATGGACATTGATTCAGTAAATGAAGGCTATGTCATATCAACAGATATACAAGAGGGCAAAGCACTACACTCTTAATGTTGAATGAAAGAAAATGCATTTGTAGCACTATTCAGTGGGCCTAAGCCTTGTCCAAGCCACAATCAAGCTTGGTGTACAAGTACATTCCCTGGACAGGACGTTACAGATTCCGCGATAGAAATGTAAAGGTAATTTACGATTGAGCCGACATATACAGCGTTTACTGTGAATGTAGTCTTTGCTAACGCGGGAACATTACATGTCAATCACGCTGTAAAGCTGAACTTCAGCAATGCGGATTGAATAGAGCCCCAAGTCTGTATCACCATTCAAAGCTCAATAATTTATGCTAATCAATAGTGCTGGCTGAACACAGATTCAGTTTTCAAAACCTTGTACACAATAAACACTCTTCATACTCGAATAATGAATGATCAAACAACTGTTCTATTTCATGATGCATTTATATCTTGCTTTTATTATCTCCATCTACGACTGAGTGCTGTGCCTGTCACATGGTCTTTGGACATGCTGTGCGTTTTTAAATGTTATGGCACCACCTTGTGGTTGACACTGGGACACATTAATTATCTTGTAGGGGTCGGCGTGGGCCCTTCCCCCCCAAAAAAACAACAACAAAGAAATATATATTTTTTAAGAAACTCAGTCAGGCTTTCAACTTACTATTGTAGTAGAATGCACAAGATGCAATTTCGATATTGGGTAGTGCATAATCAGTTTTCCTCTTGTCATTTCAGTCATTGCCTATCTTAGAGAGCCTATTTATAACTTGTCAGAAATGTCCAGATCAACTAGCCCATGTCACCTAACGTTTTTTAGCTAGGATTTTTAGCCCATACATTTTTTTGTAATGTTTGAGTCACTTAAACATCACATGAATACACATTTGACATGGAAAAATGTATAGATTTGCAAGAAAATTAGCTTTAAACCTGCAAAATGTTCTCTTCGCCAACAAGAGGGGTGTGAACAGTTTGTGTCATGGACAGTGCTTGTGCCCATAGAAATAGACGTGGGGTGCGAGATGTTCCCCAATGCTGGAAGGGGGGCCTGATCTAAAAAATTTTGGAACCCCTGTTGTAGATGACAATCTCAATCATTTCACCATGCAATGCAAGACTGCAAAAGTAATCACGCACTGTCAAACAGGACAGGGAAATGAATGCCATCAAATAAAAAAGGTGAAGGTAAAAAATGTATGCTTTACCAGAGTGCACATGAAATGTAAATGGTAGTACTAGGTCTATAATGTTAGGGTGGTGCCACAGTCTTATGGGGCCCTCAATCATGACTTCAGCAGAATTGGAGGTCCATTCAGAGCAGTGGATTTACATCGTTTCAAAGTTATATCATCTCCAACTGGTAAAACCCCACACTAAAATGTATGTGGTAGACTGTGAACCAAATTGACAGATTGGCAGTTTGTGGGTGAAGGAGAGCAAAGGGTAAATAATTACTGCTTCTAAACGCTGTGTGTCTGCGTTCTAGAGTATACCGCATCTCTGTGGAGTCCAGGCAGAAGTAATTTTGCTCAGGATTTTTTTTTTTGGGTTTCCGTTTTAGGCTAAATGTTATTTTTTTCTCCAGATAGCCAGACACTTTGGCTGTGTTTACACAGGCAGCACACTTCTGATATATATATTTTTCCAATAATTGGTATTTTGAATCATATCAGATCTTTTCATATCAGCTCTTTTCAGAGCTGATCTGATTGGTCAAATGACCAATTAGTGAAAAAAATATCAGAATTGGGCTGGCTGTGTAAACGCAGCCTTTTACTTGGCATTCCAGATTAAACAGGTTATGTGTAGTACCTGATATGAACCAGCATGAATCGCTGTTGCAATTCACACGCTCGCTATCTCCGCAGTGGCGCCTAGTACGAGGAGTGCGTTTGATTGTTGAGAGCCTCAATGGCGGATAGAGCGGGACAGTGGCTTTTAGGACAATAACATCTTGGTACTTCTCTATTTGTGGCGTGACTTGATCCGCCGTTTATTCCCGTGTATCCTACAGAAGAGGGTACTCCGGTGCATGCAGCAAAGTTGCGGTAGGCTTAAATCTGTCACATATGCCGATAAAACCTGGCTAGCTAGCTAAGTGCATCGGAGTTGTCAACAGAATACAGCGAAGGAAGTTGCTATTTCAATTCATGGTGGCTAGTTAAATATGGGGGACTCTCTTGAACTGATTGGGAAGCGACTTCTACTGCTCCTCAACGATGGCAGGTCCGCAGCCGGACCCGAAGAGGAGCAGTCCACCTGGACTCGTGACTGGCTCCGGGGGACCGTCCGGGCGGTCAGCGTCATAGGTTTGGCCAGCCCAGGGGTAGAGGTGAGCGGAGGAGAGGCGACAACAACAGCAACTGCGGGGCTGACGGTCAGTGTTTACATGTGAATAAAGACAGCTGGCGTTAACTAACAAGCTAATAACCTGACTACGTATTTAACGAAACTGATTTCAGCAGAAAAATAAAAATATTTCACCTGTTGTCTGTGCTTTGCTGGCATTATCTAGCCAACGCATTTTAGCTACCAAAAGGTAGTCAATGGGGGCCGCTGTGTTTCGCTTGCCCTGATAGCAGCTGCCCCCATACTCTATCCCGAGGATTTTGGGCCTTTGACAGATTTTGTTGTCATCTAGTTAGCTAGCTAACCAATTTTAACATAGTATCCAGAATTAAAATCATGTGCCATAGCCTCATTAAAATGTTAATGTCAGTCTAAAAGGTTTGCATGCCTCAAATAACCAAATGTAGGCTAGATATTGTTTGGTGATATGTAGCTAGGCCGAACAGTAGTTTAGCCGGTGTAATTTGTTGATGCATGCATTATCTTGCACCATTTGATGACAAGGCAGGCCTGCACCAAAGCAATTGCCAAATCCAAATTTTAGAAAGGGACCGGTGTTGGTTGGAGTAGTTAATCCAGATTATGCGATTTTCAAGGAAGTCTCCAGGACCATTCTTGGAAAAGGCTTTTCAATAGGTGCAGATGGTTGCCACAGAAACCTCAGTGCTCTCCACTCAGCCCCAGCTCTTGTTCTTGTTTCTGTTAGGTGTCTGTCTATGGGGTGGGCTGGTTGATGTTACTGGCTGTAAATGTGTTTGTTTTTGCGTTTGCATGGACTAGCCTACGTTTGCGTTGATCATCATAATAAACACAATGTATTCTCTGCAGCTTCTCAGGTCTTGGTAGGAGGGCACTCTTTAAATCACAGCAGTTGTTTCTCCTCTCTCACATAACCACACCGTTAAAATCCACAATGCTGTACTGTTTGGCTTTGTATGCAGAGTGAGTCAGCAAGTTTCACATTTAAAATGGGCTTTTGCTTACAACTATATCTTGCCCCTTGAGTAAATCATTAACCCATATAAATGCAATCCATTGTTACATTGTAATCGTTATCAATAATGTTGCTCTAGGCTACTTATTGAGATGAGGGGTTAATGAGAAGGGGAGACTGGTTTGGAATTGACAAGCCTATTTCTAATGATTGACTTGTCTTCCTGATAGAGATGGCCTTGCTTAGACTTGGAGGAGTAGATGGGCTGTGTTTGTGAGCCAGTGCTGCCCGGGCTCTGCTGACTGTGTGATCCTACCAAGGCCTGTCCTGCTGACTCTGTCTGTCTGTAGCCTGTATGTTGCGTCTTTTTTCCCATCAACCAAATATTGTGTGTTTGTCTCACCTCTGCTCTTTTGAAAATGGCCTCTGAACATGTCACCTAGCCTAAGTTAATATAGCTAGTCTTACAGAAACGGCACCACTCTCCCACCATCTTTCCCCTCCATTTTCTTCCCCATCCTGTAGGTGTTTGTGGAGTTTGAGGACTGTGCGTGGCGCAGGCGCTCCTGGGTACAGGTGTATGGGGAGGAGGTGAGAGCTGTACTGGTAGAGAGTGCCATTGTCTGGGCTAACTGCAGTGAGCCCAACCAGAACCACCCTGCAGCTGGAGGAGCCTCTGGGCCAGCCCTGGTGAGTAGCCACCTCTCTGGGTTAGGGTTGACCTAATCTCTCCTGGAAAGATTCTGCGTGTAAACTGAGAGAATCAGTCAGGACTGAATAGGATGTGTAGGGTAAGAGGAACAGTAGTTATGGTGTTTCATCTCTGGTTATTTGGACAAATCACAATTTTGCAGGTGTTAGCATATTTCGGAAGGGGAGGGGACATTCGGCCCGTAAACTTGCAAAGAGAGACGTGAGTTCCTCGTTCTCTTAACATGTTTGGACCCAGAACTTAATCGACCAGCTGACCCATTACGTGAGTCTTTATTTCTGGGTTAACTGAGAATTAGGGTTTACCATATCCTGTTTGGACTACAATATGATGAGCTAAGCAACTGATCTGACCCTGGACCAGTTACCATTAGCATGATCTGGGGTGTATTCACTAGAGAGGACCATAGCAAAAATAAATCGCTACGAAAACAATTGTTTTCAGGTAGTCCCTCCCTGTTTCGTTCTCTTTGGTTCCTTGTGAATGCCCCTGGTGGGGGAGGGTATTGGGTCATGGTTAGTTCAGAGGGTGTATGTGATATGTATGCTCTCCCCTCTCTCACTTACCTGGCTGGCTCCCTGAGGCACACCTGCACCTTGAAGTGAGGCCAGACCAGCTGGTGGAAATGCAGTCGTCCTAGCAGGGGATGTCTTTAGGTCCTGTTAGATTTACATAAGAGGGAGAACACACACACAGCAACCTGCTGCTCTTTTCTATAGAACAGTTCAACATGGGCCCTCTTATGGTTTGCCAGATGATAAGATCATTAGACATATCAGACTCTCATTCTCCAGCCACTCCACCATTTAAATCAGATGGGAATGTTATATAATATCTCAGCCTTCAAATTTAGTGGATCTTGTCCTAGCGATGTTCCTCTTCCCCTGCTAGGCGTTCCGGTGTCTAGTGGACCGTGTGGGTCTGGGTTCCCTGGTCCCAGTGGAGTTCTTTGGGAGCAGAACCCTGGACTTCCTCCCTGATGGGAATTCACTCCAGAGATTTGAGGTGGGCTTACATTGCTCAAAGTCCTGTGTGTCAACTTTCATCTGACGTGTGTATTATACTAGGGAGGCAGGTAGCTTAGTGGGTAAGAGCGTTGTGCCAGTAACCGAAAGGTCGCTGGTTCTAATCCCCGAGCCCACTAGGTGAAAAATCTGTCGATGTGCCCTTGAGCAAGGCACTTAACCCTAATTGCTCCTGTAAGTCGCTCTGGATAAGAGCGTCTGCTAAATGACCTATTATTATTTATTATTTTATTATTATACTGGAGTGTGTTATCACTGTGTGACATGGTCTCTCCCTCTGTAGGCAGAGAAAGACGTGAGGCACTCTCTCTTGCTGGAGCAGCCTTCTCTGCAGGCTGCAGTGTCCAGCTGGCACAGTGACTTTGAGCTCCAGGAGATCCTCAGGAAGGGTGAGTCTATTAGACTATCTATGGAATGACTTGAAACCTATTGTACAATGACCTGTGTACGGTGCACGTTGACTTTCCTCCTTCCTTTCATTGCTCACCCATGTTCTCCTACATTGCACTCCTCAATACTGACCTTTGCTAGTCTCTACTCCTCAATACTGGCCTTTGCTAGTCTCTACTTCTCAATACTGGCCTTTGCTAGTCTTTACTCCTCAATACTGGACTTTGCTAGTCTCTACTCCTCAATACTGACCTTTGCTAGTCTTTACTCCTCAATACTGACCTTTGCTAGTCTTTACTCCTCAATACTGACCTTTGCTAGTCTTTACTCCTCAATACTGGACTTTGCTAGTCTCTACTCCTCAATACTGACCTTTGCTAGTCTTTACTCCTCAATACTGACCTTTGCTAGTCTTTACTCCTCAATACTGGACTTTGCTAGTCTCTACTCCACAATACTGGACTTTGCTAGTCTCTACTTCTCAATACTGGACTTTGCTAGTCTCTACTCCTCAATACTGACCTTTGCTAGTCTCTACTCTTTAATACTGGTCTTTGCTAGTCTTTACTCCTCAATACTGGCATTTGCTAGCCTCTACTCCTCAATACTGGCCTTTGCTAGCCTCTACTCCTCAACACTGGCCTTTGCTAGTCTCTACTCCTCAATACTGGCCTTTGCTAGTCTCTACTCCTCAATACTGGCCTTTGCTAGTCTCTACTCCTCAATACTGGCCTTTGCTAGTCTCTACTCCTCAATACTGGCCTTTGCTAGTCTCTACTCCTCAATACTGGACTTTGCTAGTCTCTACTCCACAATACTGGACTTTGCTAGTCTCTACTTCTCAATACTGGCATTTGCTAGCCTCTACTCCTCAATACTGGCCTTTGCTAGTCCTCTACTCCTCAACACTGGCCTTTGCTAGTCTCTACTCCTCAATACTGGCCTTTGCTAGTCTCTACTCCTCAATACTGGCCTTTGCTAGTCTCTACTCCTCAATACTGGCCTTTGCTAGTCTCTACTCCTCAATACTGGCCTTTGCTAGTCTCTACTCCTCAATACTGGCCTTTGCTAGTCTCTACTCCTCAATACTGGCCTTTGCTAGTCTCTACTCCTCAATACTGGACTTTGCTAGTCTCTACTTCTCAATACTGGACTTTGCTAGCCTCTACCTCTCAATACTGGCCTTTGCTAGCCTCTACTTCTCAATACTGGCATTTGCTAGCCTCTACTCCTCAATACTGGCCTTTGCTAGTCTTTACTCCTCAACACTGTCCTTTGCTATTCTTTACTCCTCAATACTGGCATTTGCTAGCCTCTACTCCTCAATACTGGCCTTTGCTAGTCTTTACTCCTCAACACTGTCCTTTGCTATTCTTTACTCCTCAATACTGGCCTTTGCTAGTCTCTACTCCTCAATACTGGTCTTTGCTAGCCTCTACTCCTCAATACTGGTCTTTGCTAGCCTCTACTCCTCAATACTGGTCTTTGCTAGTCTCTACTCCTCAATACTGGTCTTTGCTAGTCTCTACTCCTCAATACTGGACTTTGCTAGTCTCTACTCCTCAATACTGGCCTTTGCTATTCTTTACTCCTCAATACTGGACTTTGCTAGTCTTTACTCCTCAATACTGGACTTTGCTAGTCTTTACTCCTCAATACTGGACTTTGCTAGTCTTTACTCCTCAATACTGGACTTTGCTAGTCTTTACTCCTCAATACTGGACTTTGCTAGTCTTTACTCCTCAATACTGGACTTTGCTAGTCTTTACTCCTCAATACTGGACTTTGCTAGTCTTTACTCCTCAATACTGGACTTTGCTAGTCTTTACTCCTCAATACTGGACTTTGCTAGTCTTTACTCCTCAATACTGGACTTTGCTAGTCTTTACTCCTCAATACTGGACTTTGCTAGTCTTTACTCCTCAATACTGGACTTTGCTAGTCTTTACTCCTCAATACTGGCCTTTGCTAGTCTCTACTCCTCAATACTGGCCTTTGCTAGTCTCTACTCCTCAATACTGGCCTTTGCTAGTCTCTACTCCTCAATACTGGCCTTTGCTAGTCTCTACTCCTCAATACTGGCCTTTGCTAGTCTCTACTCCTCAATACTGGCCTTTGCTAGTCTTTACTCCTCAATACTGGCCTTTGCTAGTCTCTACTCCTCAATACTGGCCATTGCTATTCTTTACTCCTCAATACTGGCCTTTGCTAGTCTTTACTCCTCAATACTGGCCTTTGCTAGTCTCTACTCCTCAATACTGGCCTTTGCTAGTCTCTACTCCTCAATATTGTCCTCTCTTCCCACTTTTCACTCCCACCATAATATCCTTCTGGCACACTAGTCTAGGTGTAGGAGTCTTTAACCCTTGTCCTGCTGGTGTGTCTCCAGGCTCCTACACCGTCCAGGGCCGGAAGGTTCAGGTATACCAGTGTGAGTTTGAGGAGCACTGGGCCCTGGGCCTGGTCTCTCGGCACGACCCCAACTCACACATCATGGAGATTACCATGGACCAGGTACACACACACACTGCCTGGATGTGCTTTTACTATTACCTCTCTGGATGTGTTGTTAATGTCCCAGATGTGTTGATGGTTTTTAGCTACGTGTTGTTAATGTCCCAGATGTGTTGATGGTGTTAGCTACGTGTTGTTAATGTCCCAGATGTGTTGATGGTGTTAGCTATGTGTTGTTAATGTCCCAGATGTGTTGATGGTTGTTAGCTACGTTTTGTTAATGTCCCAGATGTGTTGATGGTGTTAGCTACGTGTTGTTAATGTCCCAGATGTGTTGATGGTATTAGCTACGTGTTGTTAATGTCCCAGATGTGTTGATGGTGTTAGCTACATGTTATTAATGTGCCAGATGTGTTGATGGTTGTTAGCTACGTGTTGTTAATGTCCCAGATGTGTTGATGGTGTTAGCTACGTGTTGTTAATGTCCCAGATGTGTTGATGGTTGTTAGCTACGTGTTGTTAATGTGCCAGATGTGTTGATGGTTGTTAGCTCGTGTTGTTAATGTCCCAGATGTGTTGATGGTTGTTAGCTACGTGTTGTTAATGTGCCAGATGTGTTGATGGTTGTTAGCTACGTGTTGTTAATGTGCCAGATGTGTTGATGGTTGTTAGCTACGTGTTGTTAATGTGCCAGATGTGTTGATGGTTGTTAGCTACGTGTTGTTAATGTGCCAGATGTGTTGATGGTTGTTAGCTACGTGTTGTTAATGTGCCAGATGTGTTGATGGTGTTAGCTACGTGTTGTTAATGTCCCAGATGTGTTGATGGTTGTTAGCTACGTGTTGTTAATGTGCCAGATGTGTTGATGGTTGTTAGCTACGTGTTGTTAATGTCCCAGATGTGTTGATGGTTGTTAGCTACGTGTTGTTAATGTGCCAGATGTGTTGATGGTGTTAGCTACGTGTTGTTAATGTGCCAGATGTGTTGATGGTTGTTAGCTATGTGTTGTTAATGTGCCAGATGTGTTGATGGTGTTAGCTACGTGTTGTTAATGTCCCAGATGTGTTGATGGTTGTTAGCTACGTGTTGTTAATGTGCCAGATGTGTTGATGGTGTTAGCTACGTGTTGTTAATGTGCCAGATGTGTTGATGGTTGTTAGCTATGTGTTGTTAATGTGCCAGATGTGTTGATGGTGTTAGCTACGTGTTGTTAATGTCCCAGATGTGTTGATGGTTGTTAGCTACGTGTTGTTAATGTCCCAGATGTGTTGATGGTTGTTAGCTACGTGTTGTTAATGTCCCAGATGTGTTGATGGTTGTTAGCTACGTGTTGTTAATGTCCCAGATGTGTTGATGGTGTTAGCTACGTGTTGTTAATGTGCCAGATGTGTTGATGGTTGTTAGCTACGTGTTGTTAATGTCCCAGATGTGTTGATGGTTGTTAGCTACGTGTTGTTAATGTGCCAGATGTGTTGATGGTTGTTAGCTACGTGTTGTTAATGTCCCAGATGTGTTGATGGTTGTTAGCTACGTGTTGTTAATGTGCCAGATGTGTTGATGGTTGTTAGCTACGTGTTGTTAATGTGCCAGATGTGTTGATGGTTGTTAGCTATGTGTTGTTAATGTCCCAGATGTGTTGATGGTTGTTAGCTACGTGTTGTTAATGTGCCAGATGTGTTGATGGTGTTAGCTACGTGTTGTTAATGTCCAGATGTGTTGATGGTGTTAGCTACGTGTTGTTAATGTGCCAGATGTGTTGATGGTGTTAGCTACGTGTTGTTAATGTGCCAGATGTGTTGGTGTTAGCTACGTGTTGTTAATGTCCCAGATGTGTTGATGGTGTTAGCTACGTGTTGTTAATGTCCAGATGTGTTGATGGTGTTAGCTACGTGTTGTTAATGTCCAGATGTGTTGATGGCGTTAGCTTCGTGTTGTTAATGTCCAGATGTGTTGATGGTGTTAGCTACGTGTTGTTAATGTCCAGATGTGTTGATGGTGTTAGCTTCGTGTTGTTAATGTCCAGATGTGTTGATGGTGTTAGCTACGTGTTGTTAATGTCCAGATGTGTTTTAGGGAGAGGAGACTCAGGTGGTGGATCCCCGGGTAATACACGTGATGCTGGCTGAAGATCACTTTGATGAGGTAAGTTGGACGAAGTATACAGTCCCATTCCCCCCTCTTGCTTTTGTTTTAAAGGATTTTGTTGTTGGTTGACTTGGGTAATTGTTCTGCACACCCTTATCTAATCCCTTTACATTGATCTCTTCCTGTCCTCGGTCAGAAAGGGAAGAATGCTCGGCGGAGGAAGGAGAGCGACGGAGTGAAGGGCGAGAGTGGCCGTAGACGGAGGACAGCCTCGGAGGGCGAGGAGGACGTGACCCTGAAGCGCTTTAAGGGGGCGGGAGAGGGAGCAGCGGACGGACAGAACGGGAGCGGCTCCACCAAGGCCTCTGAAGAAGGGATGGTAACATGGGGAGCGGAGTTAGCAGCTGCAGGAGGAGGAGGTAGTAGAGTGAACAGCACTACCAACAATAACGTCAGTTCCTCCGAAGTCACACAGGGTTACGCCTCCCCGAACAGCACTTCCTCCCAGATGGACCAATCAAACGCTCCACCTCGCTACATCAAGGAGAACGGACGTGTCCTCTCCACACAAGACAGACAGGGGTCTGCTGACTCCACCACCACAGCCACCCCCACTCCACCCCCCCTCAAACCAGCCCCCTCCCCCTTCTCCAACACCTCCTTCCCCTCTCTGGGCCAGATGCCCAGCCTGGTCCCTGGAGCTCTAGCCCCAAAACCCACCCCAGCAGGACCCACCCCAGAGAGAGAGGAGCCATCCCAGTCTACCTACCCTAAGATGGCTGCCCTGGTCTCCCCTGGCCCGGTGACCATCTCGTCCCCATCTCAGGCCAGTGCCCCCAGCGTGGCTCTCTCTACCTCCCTTGGCTTCAGCCCCAAACCCCCCGCCTGGACAGGAACAACCAACCAGTTGGAGGTGAGTTAGTAACACTTTACATTACCATGGTCTTATACCTTACATAGTAATTGCTAACCACCATTGTTCTGTCACTAATATCCTATATTTCTTCCTCCCGCTCCTCAGGGCTCTAAGACTCTCATCCTGGCTGCGGCTGGGTTCCGGCTGCCCCAGTCCAAGCCTGCTGGGGCTTCTGTGTTCGGAGAGGTGAGCTCCAAGACCAACACTTCCTCCAACACAGCGTCAGCCTCCCAGGATTCCTCTAGACCCTTCGGATTTGCCTTCGGAGGCACCAAGAACAACAAGGCCCAACCGCAGCAGCAAGATCAGAACTTATTCTTCCAGTGTATGACAGGTCAGAAGACTGCCCAGAACCCTTGTGGTCCTACCCAGAACCAGACTCCAGGTCAGTGCCAGTCTAAGGACACTAACTACTTCACAGCAGTGTCAGAGAGCTTGAGTAAGAAGCCTCCTAGCCTGTTCAAGTCCTCTGTTCTGGCCCCGGCATCAGCTGGCCTGTTTAGCTCAGCTACAGCTCCTCTCAAAGAGCAGTCCAAAGTGCCTGAGACCCAGCCGGCAGGCAACGGAGTGCTCAACAAGCCTTTTGCAGGGGACAAACTCTCGCCTTCCTTCAGCAGCGGCTCTGGGGGGATGAGGTGCTCTGGTCTGGGCATGGGGACGATGGACACCCCCTTGGCTCCAGCCTCTGGAGCTCTGGGTGGTGCTAATAACAGGAGTGGCACTAACGGTGTAGCGGTGGGTGGCTTCGGCACCATGACAGACAGCCACCAGAACCTGTTCCTCCAGGGCTCCAAGGAGCCCTCCAACCCCTTCCTGGCCTATGGGGAGAAGCTCTCCCACAGCCCCTTCAGTGGCAAACCAGCCCCTCTGGAGCCTGAGACCCTGGGCTCTTCTTCGGCCTCGGAGAGCAAATCCAACCTGTTCACCATGGCCGAGCCGCCCAAGGGCATCCTGTCTTCCCCCTTCGCCACCCTCTCAGCTGCCGCTGCCTCCAGTTCTTCCTCCCCAGCCCCTGGCCCTGCCTTCACCCAGAGGCCCCAGTCAGTCACCTCCTCCAAGCCCAAGGAGGGTTCCTCCACAGGGGATCAGGGCTCCTCAGCTGAGGGTGGTTCTCTGGATGATCGGCCCAGCTCCACCTCAGGCTTCCCCATGTTTGGGAGTGCAGTCCCTGGAGGGAGTGGTGAGAATGCACCCATGCCTTTTGACCAGGGCCAGGCCCAAAAGTTTGCCCTGGAGGAGCGAGGTCAGGCATCTAAACGGGACTCTGACTCCAGCGACAACAGCGACCTGTCGGACCTAAGTGAGACAGAGGAGGGTCTGGAGAGAGGCCATGCCCCTGGGGGCCTCGCAGGGCCCGTCAAGGAGGGAGCCATGCTGCTGCAGAAGGGTAAAGGGCCCGGGGTGGCCAAGAGCCGGCCACGCAACAAGCCCTTCAAAGGTAAGACCTGGAGCCTCCGGATATTAGCAGTATGTAAATGAGATCCTCCATCATGCGTAACATGTCAGTCATCGATATCATTCGATTTTGGTCATGATCATGAAACGTTAAAAGGTAGACTCAGCTAAATGAGGCTGCCACGAGCAGCACCGCAGATATTGAGATGAGCGAGATGCAAGACTTCTCTCAAACAGTCACACACAGCATCTGCGCATGTGCACGGGTTCGCTTCACACCGTTCAGAGTGGTAGCCAGGGCACCAAAACAGCAGAGGAGTTGAGCCTCATGCTTCAACGCTCTTAGATGTTGTGGAAATTGACCCACTATGCTGTTTACTTTCTGCATCTACGTCATATCGCTGAGTGGTAAAATTGCTGACCAACTCTTCCCTGAGGTTTTGACTACCCCTTACTACACGCATGAATAGGTTGCATGGTTCTATAGCCCTTCATGTTGTAGGTCAACTCTTTTGTGTTGTACAGTGGGCCAGTCAGTGCTGAAGGACATGATTAAGGTACGTCGTCTGAAGCAGTCAGGAGAGTCGTTCCTGCAGGACGGTTCCTGTATCAACGTGGCGCCCCACCTCCACAAGTGTCGCGAGTGTCGCATGGAGCGCTACAGGAAGTACCGGGAGCAGGAGCCTGACGACGATGACCCCAACGTGGCCTGCCGCTTCTTCCACTTCCGCAGGTACGTCTGTCTGTGTGTGTTTATACCAAAGACTGTGTGTGTGTATGAGAAATGGGTTGTGGTGTGTATCTTCTTCTAAGTAATGGTACATCAGTCATTTAATCAACCTCCATCTCAAACGTTTTCTACACTGTCATCTAAAACATACGACCTGCCCTCATCTAACCTTTGACCCCTACCCAGGCTGGCATTCACGCGTAAGGGCATCCTGCGTGTGGAGGGCTTCCTGAGCCCCCAGCAGAGCGATGCCATGGCCATGGGGCTGTGGCTGCCCTCCCCGGCCGTACAGGAGGGCCTGGACCTGGACACTTCCAAGTACATCCTGGCCAACGTGGGAGACCAGTTCTGTCAGCTCGTCATGTCTGAGAAGGAGGCCATGATGATGGTTGAGCCTCACCGTGAGTAGTCTGACACTTGTTCAGTGTGTGTGTAGCCTTGTATTTTTGATGTGTGTTTGTCTCCCCGTCACATATTTTATTGTTCAAATCCAGATCTCTGTGACAGTTGACCTTACTTGGCAGGCATACTGCTGCAGTGGGTTCACTACAAACCAAACGGGGAGGGACCTACCTGAAATTTGTCTGAACCTGAACTCTCGTTTTCCATTGCAAAGTGTTTTGCTACAGTGTGCATTAATAATAAACCCCTGCTGTTTTGCGTTGGTTTCAGTAAGGTGACTTATGCTTACCCTGTGTCTGTCTGTGTTCTCTTCTACAGAGAAAGTGGCGTGGAAGCGTGCGGTGCGCGGCATCAGGGAGATGTGCGACGTATGTGAGACCACCCTCTTCAACATCCACTGGGTCTGCAGGAAGTGTGGCTTCGGGGTGTGTCTGGACTGCTACCGGCAACGCAGGAACCGCCCTATGGATGGTGAGAGTCATAGAATTCCATCCAAAATCTTTAGAACATATAGAATGTGGATTGTAGGATCTCTATGGTGACTCCACACACAGGGACATACTGGGGTATGTTATTGTCCAGTTCAACTAAACTCAGCAAAAAAAGAAACATCCCTTTTTCAGGACCCTGTCTTTCAAAGATAATTAGTAAAAATCCAAATAACCTCACAGATCTTCATTGTAAAGGGTTTAAACACTGTTTCCCATGCTTGTTCAATAAACCATACAAAATTAATGAACATGCACCTGTGGAACGGTCGTTAAGACACTAATGGCTTACAGATGGTAGGCAATTAAGGTCACAGTTATGAAAACTTAGGACACGAAAGAGGCCTTTCTACTGACTCTGAAAAACACCAAAAGAAAGATGCCCAGGGTCCCTGCTCATCTGCGTGAACGTGCCTTAGGCATGCTGCAAGGAGGCATGAGGACTGCAGATGTGGCCAGGGCAATAAATTGCAATGTCCGTACTGTGAGACCCCTAAGACAGCACTACAGGGAGACAGGACTGACAGCTGATCGTCCTCGCAGTGGCAGACCACGTGTAACAACACCTGCACAGGATCGGTACATCCGAACATCACACCTGCGGGACAGGTACAGGATGGCAACAACAACTGCCTGAGTTACACCAGGAACGCACAATCCCTCCATCAGTGCTCAGACTGTCCTCAATATGCTGAGAGAGGCTGGACTGAGGGCTTGTAGGCCTGTTGTAAGGCAGGTCCTCACCAGACATCACCGGCAACAACATCGCCTATGGGCACAAACCCACCGTCGCTGGACCAGACAGGACTGGCAAAAAGTGCTCTTCACTGACGAGTCGCGGTTTTGTCTCACCAGGGGTGATGGTCGGATTCACGTTTATCGTCGAAGGAATGAGTGTTACACCGAGGCCTGTACTCTGGAGCGGGATCGATTTGGAGCTGGAGGGTCCGTCATGGTCTGGGGCGGTGTGTCACAGCATCATCAGACTGAGCTTGTTGTCATTGCAGGCAATCTCAACGCTGTGCGTTACAGGGAAGACATCCTCCTCCCTCATGTGGTACCCTTCCTGCAGGCTCATCCTGACGTGATCCTCCAGCATGACAATGCCACCAGCCATACTGCTCGTTCTGTGCGTGATTTCCTGCAAGACAGGAATGTCAGTGTTCTGCCATGGCCAGCGAAGAGCCCGGATCTCAGTCCCATTGAGCACGTCTGGAACCTGTTGGATCGGAGGGTGAGGGCTAGGGCCATTCCCCCCAGAAATGTCCAGGAACTTGCAGGTGCATTGGTGGAAGAGTGGGGTAACATCTCACAGCAAGAACTGGCAAATCTGGTGCAGTCCATGAGGAGGAGATGCACTGCAGTATTTAATGCAGCTGGTGGCCACTAGATACTGACCCCCCCCCCCCCCCCCCCCCCTTTGTTCGGGGACACATTATTCAATTTCTGTTAGTCACATGTCTGTGGAACTTGTTCAGTTTATGTCTGTTGTTGAATCTTGTTATGTTCATACAAATATTTCCACATGTTAAGTTTACTGAAAATAAACGCAGTTGACAGTGCGGACGTTTCTTTTTTTTGCTGAGTTTACATACAGTGTTTGGCCTGGACTGCTCTTTCTTTCAGTGATGTTTGTTTTGAAGAAGTGAAGATTGAGCTGAAAGGGGAGTGTGTATAAATGACTCTTCTATCACTTGTTTTGTCTCTCAGAGGTGGACGAGGGGCCTGATGACGAGGTGTTCTCCTGGTTGAAGTGTGTAAAGGGCCAGAGACACGAGCCTCAGAACCTCATGCCCACACAGATCATACCTGGAACAGGTAACATGATCATAACTATAGGAGCTTAGAACTAGGGCCTTCATGTTTGTTGAATAAGAGTACTGATCTAAGATCAGTTTTCCCTTTAAGATCATTATGAATCAGATTATTATGGACAGGGAGGACCTGATCCTAGATCATCATTCCTTCTCTGAGATGCTATGTGGAAACGGGCCCAGGTCACATTGTCTGGAAAAATTCCCAGCCCTAACTTGACATCCAACATGTATGTGTTGTATCTCTCTCCATAAGTCATCCCATGTTGACTTATCTCTCCCACAGCTCTCTATAACATAGGGGATATGGTGCACTCAGCCAGGGGCAAATGGGGCATCAAGGCAAACTGCCCCTGCACCAGCCGGCACCACAGGCCCCTAGTGCGCCCTAGTGCCCCCAATGGCATCTCACAGGTACTGCATCCTCGTGTCTTCGAACGTCGTACCAAAACATAATGTATAACATTTACACATATTTCTCACGTGTTTTAAATGTTGGTTGTCAGGAGCTTTATTAGAATACAATATAATGCTAATATTTCCTTTTGGCTGTCCCAGCAGTCTGCAGTCTCTTCCAGCACGGGGAGCAGTGGTAGTGGACCAATCACAGGTGGCGGGGGGCCAGCAGGTTCAACCACTCCTAAGCCAGAGGGGGCGGAGATGACAGTGGTCAAAACAGAGCCTACTTCCACCACAATGTCATCAGAGGGGGGAGGAGTTGGGGTTGATACTAACAGGGCCAACAGTACCAGCGCCCCCCATAACCCTGCCCAGACCCCCACCCCCAAGGACCCCCGCCCCTCCACCGGTGAGGGCAACTCCACCGCTCTGCACTGGCTGGCAGACCTTGCCACTCAGAAAGCCAAGGTGGAGGACACTAAAGGTGAGAGTGCCAGGAGGACAGCATGTCTTTCACTACATCAAATCAAATTGTATTTGTCACATGCGCTGAATACAACAGGTGTAGACCTTACAGTGAAATGCTTACCGTATTTTCTGCACTATAAGGCGCACCGGAGTATAAGCCGCAGCAGCTAAATTGAATGATATTGAATGATGTGTACATATATAAGCCGCACTGGACTATAAGCCGCATGTGTTTTAATGTTTAATTACCATATGTAAGGGTTCGTGCACAGAGGGGATTGTCGGGAAAGAGACAAACTGTCTCGCTCTCGTAATGTCTGTCTGTCTTGCTCTCGTTCTGTCTCTCGTTCTGTCTCTCGTACCACTCTCGGTTCCACTTTTACTTTTGCGCGCTACCTGTCTCACTCTTTTCCGGCCTCCAGCTTTTCCTGCTGGAGCCCGCCGCTTAAAGGTGGGGGGCGCGGACCGGTCATAGAGCCCATAGAGTTAAAGTTGGTGGACTGTAACCTGTAAAATCCATAGATTTAGGAGGTCTTCTAGTGGCCGTTAGCTGTAAAAATCCATAGATTAGCCGCACCGTTATATAAGCCGCAGGGTCGAAAAATTGGAAAAAAGGCGCGGCTTATAGTCCGAAAATTACGGTACTTAGAAGCCCTTAACCAACAATGCAGTTTTTAAGAAAAATAAGTTAAGTAAACAATAGATAAGTAAAAAATAAAAGCAGTAAAATAACAGTAAAAGAGATACATCTTATCTCTGTTCTACGTCATATTCTGGTTGGTACTCTAAATGTATTGTACATGTGTTAATATGAGAGGATCTGTGAGGTATCTAACCATCCTCTAACCTTGTCTCCTCTCCTGTCCACCCCTCCAGACTCTGGGTCGCTTCGCTCGGTGAAGGGCCGGGACACGCGTTCCCCCTTCGGCCTGGACTCGTTCAGCGCCCTGTCCAAGCCTTCGTCCTCCTCTTCTTCCTCCAGTCCTAAGTTGTTCAACAGCCTGCTGCTGGGCTCTAGCAACACCCAGGCCAAAACAGAGGGCTCCAGCCTCCGAGACCTGCTCAACTCAGGCTCCGGGAGGCTCCCCCAGGGCCCCGGAGACTCTGGAGTACCCTTCCCCTCTGTCTTCTCCACCTCAGCAGCTGTGAGTGTCTGTCAGCTTGCCACAGTAGCTAGGATAATTCAGATTTCAGAATGCTCATATTAGAGGATCATTCCAGAATTCATAGAATCTACACACAGTTCTAGTTTGTGTCCCAAGTGCCACCCTATGCCCTATATAGTGCACTACTTTTGGCCAGATCCCTATGGGAGCCCTAGGGCCCTGGACTGCATGTTTAACCCCTCCTCCTCTACCTCCATCAGGGGGACAAGATGAAGGGCAGCCTGCCTAACTTCCTGGACCATATCATTGCCTCTGTGGTGGAGACCAAGAAGGCGGAGGGCCGTCGTTCGGGGGAGGGGGGCAGTGAGCTGGGCGGGGTGGGCCGCAGGGACGGGGTGATGGGCCTCAGTGTGCTGGACCCCCACACCTCCCACTCCTGGCTCTGTGACGGACGCCTTCTCTGCCTGCAGGACCCCTCCAACACCAACAACTGGAAGATCTTCAGAGAGTGCTGGAAACAGGGCCAGGTGAGAGACCTTTCTGGGGGGTAGAAAATAGATGTGAGTAATATGGTGGTGTGAGTAATATTTAGTAATATGGTAGTGTAGTAATGTGGTGGTGTGAATAATATGTAGTAATATGGTAGTGTAGTAATGTGGTGGTGTGAGTAATATGATGGTGTGTGTAATATGATGGTGTGAGTAATATGGTGGTGTGAGTAATGTGATGGTGTGAGTAATATGTAGTAATATGGTAGTGTAGTAATGTGGTGGTGTGAGTAATGTGGTGGTGTGAGTAATGTGTAGTAATGTGGTGGTGTGAGTAATATGTAGTAATGTGGTGGTGTGAGTAATGTGGTGGTGTGAGTTTGGGCTGCGGCGGTCACGAAATCTCGTCAGCCGGTGATTGTCAAGCAAATAACTGTCGGTCTCACTGTAATTGACGTGAATTAACAAACACATTTAGCATCTCCTAGCTTCCCCACACAGCCTATAAGCCACTGATGCAGACCTTTGGAACATCTACATTTTAAAAAGTCCAATAAATCCATGTAATATAGCCTACACCTTAACAATAAATCCATTATTTATTTTAGACAGGTCTAAAGAAGCATGATATGAAGAAAATGTTGTCTATTTCAGAAGAACCGAATAGCGTACTCTGAGTTGTCCTGATTTGACTATGCCAAATGGCTGTGGGCTACACTAGTTCATTTAGCAGACAGGATTTGCTTAGAATTCCGTGGCATTCTTTTATATTTTATAGTATGAAGAATACATTTGAACAAAGCTGAATAAAATAAAGGATATTTTCTCCAAACGATTTGAGGGAGTGCGCACATGCGGCTATTCTGTGTTGAGCGGTTAACAAAGAAATAGCTACTCCTCTATGCTTAATTTAGAGTTATTCATGTAACTTTCATTGTTCTACAAATTTTGGGCAATATGTTTAGATTTTTAAATCATTGTAAGGCTGCATGATGCAACTAATGATGATTTTGAAAAAAGGTGCTTGAAAGGCATGAGCTCTGCTTTGTTTTTTGCGCAGGCTGTACACACTTTATCAATCTCTCATTCACAATTTGACAAGCACTTGATAATGCCTTGAATTTCACGGCGGCATCCCCTTGTGGCCATAAGGCACCCTAAAAGAATACATGCCTTTTGTGGCCGTTGTGCCCTTGGTCCGGAGTGCTGCGTTGTGCTCTTCTCCCTGAGTGCTGAGCACTCCGAAGCACCTCTCACTCACATGGCTCTCCATCACGTGATTGGGTCTTTCTCACAGGCTACAAGTGAAGACGGACACATCGGGGACGCAACTGCGCGCGTCCTTATCCAATTCAGAGGTGCATATTGAAGATATTGGAAGAACTGTCCACATTTTACTTTTCGTCAGCCAACAAGATGAGTAGGCCTAACGAACAGCAAAAGCACTAGCCTATGTCTACTATGCCCCATAGTACAAAAGTTGACCTATTCTGTGCGAGAAATAAATATTCCGAACATCGTCCCGGACAGATGTGGGATGCGATAGATCTCAAATGAATAAAACCACTAGTATCCAAAAATATATGATATTTCCATTTGTCTAAAAAACTGTTTTTGCTTTGTCATTATAGGGTATTGTGTGTAGATTGAAAAAACAGAATTTAATCAATTTTAGAATAAGGCTGTAACGTAACAAAATGTGGAAAAAGTCAAGGGGTCTGAATATTTTCCGAATGCACTGTAAACGCAACATGCAACAATTTTCAAAGATTTTACTGAGTTACAGTTCATATAAGGAAATCAGTCCAAAAAAAATGTAAGTTAGGGGCGTGGATCAGAAAACCAGTCAGTATCTGGTTTCACCACCATTTGCCTCATGCAGTGTGACACATCTCCTTTCGCGTAGAGTTGATCAGGCTGTTGTTTGTGGCCTGTGGAATGTTCTCCCACTCATCTTCAATGGCTGTGCGAAATTGCTGGATATTGGTGGGAACTGGAACACGCTGTCGTACATGCTCAATTGATGACATGTCTGGTGAGTATGCATGCTTATACCTGCCCATACCATAACCCCACCGCCACCATGGGGCACTCTGTTCACAACGTTGAAATCAGCAAACCTCTCGCCCACACAACGCCATACATGCCGCCATACATGCCATCTGCCTGGTACAATTAAAACCGGGATTCATCCATGAAGAGCACACTTCTCCAGCGTGCTAGTGGCCATCGAAGTTGAGCATTTGCCCACTGAAGTCGGTTATGGCGCTGACCTGCAGTCAGGTCAAGAACCTGGTGAGGACAGCCGAGCATGCAGATGAGCTTCCCTGAGACGGTTCCAAATTCTCTAGAGAAATGAACATTTGATTCTCTGTAATCCGCTCTGGTGGACATTCCTGCAATCAGCATGCCAATTACACGCTCCCTCTACTTCAGACATCTGTGGCATTGTGTTGTGTGACAAAACTGCACATTTTAGAGTGGCCGTTTATTGTCCCCAGCACAAGGTGCACCTCTGTAATGATCATGCTGTTTAATCAGCTTCTTGATATGCCACACCTGTCAGGTGGATGGATTATCTTGGTAAAAGGAGAAATGCTCACTAACAGGAATGTAAACAGATTTGTGCACAATTTGAGAGAATTTCGGAAATATTTTATTTCAGAGAGAGAAAGAGACGCACTTTGGCAATATGTACATTGTTACGTCATGCCAATGTAATAGATTAGTTGGGGGTGAGGTTTGGAAGAGGGGGATGTGCAGTGTGAAAGATGAGGGGTGAGAGAAGTTGATTATGTTTGAACCCTTTCCCTCCGTCTCTCCAGCCGGTGCTGGTGTCTGGTATCCATAAGCGTCTGAAGGGGACTCTGTGGCGGCCTGAGGCCTTCAGCGAGGAGTTTGGGGACCAGGATGTTGACCTGGTCAACTGTCGGAACTGTGCCATCATCTCTGACGTCAAGGTTCGAGACTTCTGGGACGGCTTCCAGGTCATCTCCAGTAAGTAATGGGATTATTCATTCGTTCATCTATTTACAGTGAGGGGAAAAAAGTATTTGATCCCCTGCTGATTTTGTACGTTTGCTCACTGACAAAGAAATGATCAGTCTATAATTTTTATGGTAGGTTTATTTGAACAGTGAGAGACAGAATAACAACAAAACAATCCAGAAAAACGCATGTCAAAAATGTTATAAATTGATTTTCACTTTAATGAGGGAAATAAGTATTTGACCCCCTCTCAATCAGAAAGATTTCTGGCTCCCAGGTGTCTTTTTTATACAGGTAACGAGCTGAGATTAGGAGCACACTCTTAAAGGGAGTGCTCCTAATATCAGCTTGTTACCTGTATAAAAGACACCTGTCCACAGAAGCAATCAATCAATCAGATTCCAAACTCTCCACCATGGCCAAGACCAAAGAGCTCTCCAAGGATGTCAGGGACAAGATTGTAGACCTACACAAGGCTGGAATGGGCTACAAGACCATCGCCAAGCAGCTTGGTGAGAAGGTGACAACAGTTGGTGCGATTATTCGCAAATGGAAGAAACACAAAAGAACTGTCAATCTCCCTCGGCCTGGGGCTCCATGCAAGATCTCACCTCGTGGAGTTGCAATGATCATGAGAACGGTGAGGAATCAGCCCAGAACTACACGGGAGGATCTTGTCAATGATCTCAAGGCAGCTGGGACCATAGTCACCAAGAAAACAATTGGTAACACACTACGCCATGAAGGACTGAAATCCTGCAGCGCCCGCAAGGTCCCCCTGCTCAAGAAAGCACATATACAGGGCCGTCTGAAATTAGCCAATGAACATCTGAATGATTCAGAGGAGAACTGGATGAAAGTGTTGTGGTCAGATGAGACCAAAATCGAGCTCTTTGGCATCAACTCAACTCGCCGTGTTTGGAGGAGGAGGAATGCTGCCTATGACCCCAAAAACACCATCCCCACCGTCAAACATGGAGGTGGAAACATTATGCTTTGGGGGTGTTTTTCTGCTAAGGGGACAGGACAACTTCACCGTATCAAAGGGACGATGGACGGGGCCATGTACTGTCAAATCTTGGGTGAGAACCTCCTTCGCTCAGCCAGGGCATTGAAAATGGGTCGTGGATGGGTATTCCAGCATGACAATGACCCAAAACACACGGCCAAGGCAACAAAGGAGTGGCTCAAGAAGAAGCACATTAAGGTCCTGGAGTGGCCTAGCCAGTCTCCAGACCTTAATCCCATAGAAAATCTGTGGAGGGAGCTGAAGGTACGAGTTGCCAAACGTCAGCCTTGAAACCTTAATGACTTGGAGAAGAGCTGCAAAGAGGAGTGGGGAAAAAATCCCTCCTGAGATGTGTGCAAACCTGGTGGCCAACTACAAGAAACGTCTGACCTCTGTGATTGCCAACAAGGGTTTTGCCACCAAGTACTAAGTCATGTTTTGCAGAGGGGTCAAATACTTATTTCCCTCGTTAAAATGCAAATCAATTTATAAAAAATGTTGGACATGCGTTTTTCTGGATATTTTTGTTGTTATTCTGTCTCTCACTGTTCAAATAAACCTACCATTAAAATTATAGACTGATCATGTCTTTGTCAGTGGGCAAACGTACAAAATCAGCAGGGGATCAAATACTTTTTTCCCTCACTGTATTCACTGATTCACTCACTCACTCATTTATCTCTCTTTCCAGAGCGTCTGAAGGGTAGTGATGGTCAGCCCATGGTTTTGAAGCTGAAGGACTGGCCTCCTGGAGAAGACTTCAGAGACATGATGCCCACACGGTTTGATGATCTGATGGACAACCTCCCCCTCCCAGAGTACACTAAGAGAGACGGCCGTCTGAACCTGGCCTCCCGCCTGCCCAACTTCTTTGTCAGGCCAGACCTGGGGCCTAAGATGTACAATGCTTATGGTGAGAGAAACCTTACAGACTAACACTGGGATCCCATAGCTGGTCAATAGATAGCTAGTTAGCAATGGCACCAATGTCAGCATCTCTGATCTTAGTCTCTTCTTCTTTCCATCTATCACTACCCCCACATCTCCCATCTCTTTCCGTCTCTTGCCACTATCATCCGGCTTTGTCTTCTCTCCCTCCCTCTCAGGTCTGATGGAGACAGAAGACCGGAGTGTTGGCACCACCAACCTGCATCTGGACGTGTCTGATGCCGTCAACGTTATGGTGTACGTGGGCATCCCTGAGGGAGAGGGAGACCACGTCAAGGGTGAGTAGGACCAACACCCTATCACACAGTGAGGCAGAACATATATTCACACAGCACAGCTTACCCATTACAGCATTGACGTACATACACTAAACAATGTAATTGTTAGCATGGCTAGCAATTTAGCACAAGTGATCACACCGCTACTCACACAGACATCAGCACCTCCATCCAGCAACACTCATTAATGATTGATACTTTTTTTTTTTGGTACATAAATGGTGGTCCTTGGATCTTTGTCCTTGGACAGTCATGTTTTTATTCCATCCAATGCTGCACTATCTTTGGGTTTGTTGAATTGATTTTCAGGAGTATCATTATGACAGATTTTAACACCTTACATCTAAAGGAAGTGTAAAAAAACAAAAAGTGAAACTGAAAATATTTTGAATAAAATTAAAACCAGTCATGTATAATTGGATTTGAGGTGCTCCCGAGTATTTTAAAGGAATATCGATAGGTTGACCAAGATCAAATACTGTATTGTCCCATTGAACTAAGAAAAGGAAGCCATTCCTCAGCATTGAGACAGAACAATGGTGTAAATGTTCCATTTTAGCCTGTCAGCCACTCCTGTGGCCTCTCCCAGGTTTCCCACGCTGGGCCTGTATCCACCAAGTGTCTAAGGTGTGCTAATCTATATCATCTCATTCATTATGATCTAAAAGGCTAAACTGATCCTAAATCAGCACTCGTACTCTGAGATGCTTTGTGGATACGGGCCCTGGACTATATCACTAGAGGCCTCTGACTAGCCCAACCCCCCCCCCATGAATCAATGGACATGAGCCTGGTGGAAAGACCCTGTCATGGGTCTCACATGTTGATTGTGGTAACATTTCTTGTTCACAGAGATGGATATCGCTGGATGTAAAGGTCTGTGCATTTTTATAACATTATCACCTCCTTAGCATGCCCTTCTTGACTAACATCCTCCTTTTCTCGCCTCCGCCACTCCCCCCATGTCCTTTCCCCCATGGGGTCGGGGCCAGAACACTAAGGTGGTGCCATCCATTTAACAGCCTTTGTGGTTTATCTGTGGTCTGAGTGGGATCTGCCTGTGGTCTTCTACACTGTGTAGACATGACCTTCATTAACCCACGGATAGCCAGAGTCAGTCAAACCCTGTTTAAAACCTTTTAAAACACAACTTATTATTGTTAATGTTTTACGCTGGTAGACGCTAGTAGTTTTTTACGCTGGTAGACGTCGGTAGTTTTTTTTTTTTTCATGTATTGCATCTTCTGTTGTCTGGGATAACTGGTGTTCTGGCCTTGACTGTTGGAGATTGGCATCTAGAGCTGCCTAGCCTGGAGGAAAGTCGGACCAAACAAGCTCACGCTCATGTAGTCTCTCCCTCGCCCACACGCACATCTCTCGCTCGCCCACACGCACATCTCTCCCTCGCCCACACACACATCTCTCCCTCGCCCACACGCACCTCTCTCCCTCGCCCACACGCACATCTCTCGCTCGCCCACACGCACATCTCTCGCTCGCCCACACGCACATCTCTCCCTCGCCCACACGCACCTCTCTCCCTCGCCCACACACATCTCTCCCTCGCCACACACACATCTCTCGCTCGCCCACACGCACATCTCTCGCTCGCCCACACGCACATCTCTCCCTCGCCCACACGCACCTCTCTCCCTCGCCCACACACGCATCTCTCCCTCGCCCACACGCACCTCTCTCCCTCGCCCACACACACATCTCTCCCTCGCCCACACGCACCTCGCCCACACGCACATCTCTCGCTCGCCCACACGCACATCTCGCGCTCGCCCACACGCACATCTCGCCCACACGCACATCTCTCGCTCGCCCACACGCACATCTCTCGCTCGCCCACACGCACATCTCTCGCTCGCCCACACGCACATCTCTCGCTCACCCACACGCACATCTCTCCCTCGCCCACACGCACATCTAGTCTCTCCCTCGCCCACACGCACATCTCTCCCTCGCCCACACGCACCTCTCTCTCTCGCCCACACGCACCTCTCTCTCTCGCCCACACGCACCTCTCTCGCTCGCCCACACGCACCTCTCTCTCTCGCCCACACGCACCTCTCTCGCTCTCCCACACGCACATCTCTCGCTCGCCCACACGCACATCTCGCCCACACGCACATCTAGTCTCTCCCTCGCCCACACACACACATCTAGTCTCTCCCTCGCCCACACATCTAGTCTCTCCCTCGCCCACACATCTAGTCTCTCCCTCGCCCACACATCTAGTCTCTCCCTCGCCCACACATCTAGTCTCTCCCTCGCCCACACATCTAGTCTCTCTCTCGCCCACACACACACACTAGTAGTTCCCTTAGAGATAATGTTCAATCAGTGACTGGCTGGTGTTTGCTCATCCCTGTCTGTTTGGTCCTGCAGAGGTGATGACCACCATCGAGGAGGGTGACGTGGATGAGATTACCAAGAGGAGGGTGTATGAGGCCAAGGAGAAACCCGGGGCGCTCTGGCACATCTACTCTGCCAAGGACGCCGAGAAGATCCGCGAGCTGCTCCGCAAGGTCAGGGATCACCGTCACCACATTCATTGTAATGCATATCTGGACATTCATTTTTGGTCTATGCATTATCTCTGGGAAATGGTCAGGGAAGAAACTAAAATGGTTGCTTGGCTTTTTATTGTAGTTCTACTGTTCCCATGAGAAGTCCCAAATTGACCCCTATTCCCTATAGTGCGCTACTTTTGGGCCCCTATTCCCATAGGACTGGTCAAATGTAGTGCACTATATAGGGCAGGGCTCTCCAACCTTGTTCATGGAGAGCTACCCTTCTGTAGTTTTCACTCCAACCCTGTTCCTGGAGAGCTACCCTTCTGTAAGTTTTTGCTCCAACTGGGGTTGGAGTGAAAATCTACAGGAGGGTAGCTTTCCATGAACAGGGTTGGAGTGAAAACCTACAGGAGGGTAGCTCTCCAGGAACAGGGTTGGAGTATACACCTACAGGAGGGTAGCTCTCCAGGAACAGGGGTGGAGTATACACCTACAGGAGGGTAGCTCTCCAGGAACAGGGCTGGAGTATAAACCTACAGGAGGGTTGGAGAGCCCTGATATAGGGAATAGGGTGCCATTTAGGACATAGACATTGTCTCTCTGATATACCATTAGCATGTTACTATGCTTTACCATTAGCGTGTCATTATGCTTTACCATTAGCGCGTCACGGTGCTTTACCATTAGCGTGTCATTATGCTTTACCATTAGCGCGTCACAGTGCTTTACCATTAGCGCGTCACGGTGCTTTACCATTAGCGCGTCACGGTGCTTTACCATTAGCGCGTCACAGTGCTTTACCATTAGCGCGTCACAGTGCTTTACCATTAGCGCGTCACGGTGCTTTACCATTAGCGCGTCACGGTGCTTTACCATTAGCGCGTCATGGTGCTTTACCATTAGCGCGTCACGGTGCTTTACCATTAGCGCGTCACGGTGCTTTACCATTAGCGCGTCACGGTGCTTTACCATTAGCTCGTCACGGTGCTTTACCATTAGCTCGTCACGGTGCTTTACCATTAGCTCGTCACGGTGCTTTACCATTAGCGCGTCACGGTGCTTTACCATTAGCTCGTCACGGTGCTTTACCATTAGCGCGTCACGGTGCTTTACCATCAGCATGTCTTTCCCCTCTGACTGTGTCAGGTGGGCGAGGAGCAGGGCCAGGAGAACCCGCCGGACCATGACCCTATCCACGACCAGAGCTGGTACCTGGACGGGGTGCTGCGCAGGAGACTGTATGAGGAGTATGGTGTGCAGGGCTGGGCCATCGTACAGTTCCTGGGAGACGCCGTCTTCATCCCCGCCGGGGCTCCCCACCAGGTGGGTACTAGGGGAAACACTGGATGTAACAGTGGAGGTTTAGATTGAGACGTTTTGGGTTGTTTAATGGTTACATAGGGCCAGAGGGTACACGTGGGGTGTTTAATGGTTACATAGGGCCAGAGGGTACACGTGGGGTGTTTAATGGTTACATAGGGCCAGAGGGTACACGTGGGGTGTTTAATGGTTACATAGGGCCAGAGGGTACACGTGGGGTGTTTAATGGTTACATAGGGCCAGAGGGTACACGTGGGGTGTTTAATGGTTACATAGGGCCAGAGGGTACACGTGGGGTGTTTAATGGTTACATAGGGCCAGAGGGTACACGTGGGGTGTTTAATGGTTACATAGGGCCAGAGGGTACACGTGGGGTGTTTAATGGTTACATAGGGCCAGAGGGTACACGTGGGGTGTTTAATGGTTACATAGGGCCAGAGGGTACACGTGGGGTGTTTAATGGTTACATAGGGCCAGAGGGTACACGTGGGGTGTTTAATGGTTACATAGGGCCAGAGGGTACACGTGGGGTGTTCCTTTGGCTGTATAATATTTATACTCTTGCTTCTCTCACACACACATTCACTCGTTCTCTCTGTCTTGCCACCTCTCACACTCTTTCAAAAACGAATCTTTCACACACTTCCCTCTGTCTTTCTCATCTCTCCTGGCTGTCCCCCCAGGTCCATAACCTGTACAGCTGTATCAAGGTGGCGGAGGACTTTGTGTCTCCTGAACACGTGAGGCACTGTTTCAGACTGACCCAGGAGTTCAGACACCTGTCCACCACACACTCCAACCATGAGGACAAGCTGCAGGTACACTTCGACTGCCTCCTGAATGACACCCTATGTATTGCACTACTTTTGAGCAGGGTTCTGGTCAAAAGTAATGCACTATAACTACGCCTCCACTAAATATACAGTGCCTTCGGAAAGTATTCAGACCCCTTGACTTTTTCCACATTTTGTTACGTTACAGCCTTATTCTAAAATGGATTAAATAAATAAAAATCCTCAGCAAATTACACACAATACCACATAATGACACAGCGAAAACAGGAATACCTTATTTACATAAGTATTCAGACTTGAAATTGAGCTCAGGTGCATCCTGTTTCCTAAGATCATCCTTGAGTTGTTTCTACAACTTCATTGGAGTCCACCTGTGGTAAATTAAATTGACTGGACATGATTTGGAAAGGCACACACCTGTCTATATAACGTCCCACAGTTGACACTGCATGTCAGAGCAAAAACCAAGCCATGAAGACCAAGAACCCGATGGTTACTCTGACAGAGCTCTAGAGTTCATCTGTAGAAGGACAACCATCTCTGCAGCACTCCACCAATCAGGCCTTTATGGTAGAGTGACCATACGGATGCCACTCCTCAGTAAAAGGCACATGACAGCCCGCTTGAAGTTTGCCAAAAGGCACCTAAAGACTCTCAGACCATGAGAAACAGATTCTCTGGTCTGATGAAACCAAGATGGAATTCTTTGGCCTGAATGTCAAGTGTCACGTCTGGAGGAGACCTGGCACCATCCCTACGGTGAAGCATGGTGGTGGCAGCATCATGCTGTGGGGATGTTCTTCAGTGGCAGGGACTGGGAAACTAGTAGGATCGAGGCAAAGATGAACGGAGCAAAGTACAGAGAGAGATCCTTGATGAAAACCTGCTCTAGAGCGCTCAGGATCTCAGAATGGGGCGAAGGTTCACCTTCCAACAGGACAACGACCCTAAGCACACGGTCAAGACAACGCAGGAGTGGCTTCGGGACAAGTCTCTGAATGTCCTTGAGTGTCCCAGCCAGAGCCCGGACTTCAACCCGATCAAACATCTCTGGAGAGACCTGAAAATAGCTGTGCAGCAACGCTCCCCATCCAACCTGACAGAGCTTGAGAGGATCTGTAGAGAAGAATGGGAGAAACTATCCAAAAACAGGTGTGCCAAGCTTGTAGCGTCATACCCAAAAAGACTTGATGCTGTAATCGCTGCCGACGGTGCTTCAACAAAGTACTGAGTAAAGGGTCTGAATACTTATGTAAATGTGATATCTTTTAAAAATATATATAAATTAGCAAAAATGTAAAATCCAGTTTTTGCTTTGTCATTATGGGGTATTGTGTAGATTAATACAAAAATAAATGTGGAAAAAGTCAAGGGGTCTGAATACTTTCCGAATTCACTGTAGGTCAATGTTGTGAGAAGGAATAAAGGTTTGAATTTATTATCAATCAGCTAAACAATCAGTATTGTTGTAATGAATTGTAATTTTTATGGGATCTCTGTTCTCTAGGTGAAGAACATCATCTACCATGCTGTAAAGGACGCTGTGGGGACACTGAGGGCCCACGAACCCAAGCTAGCACGCTCTTAGTGCCCGCTACACACACACACACACACACACACACACACACACTATCTGCAGTGATAGAGTAGAGGTGTCAGTGTGCAGAAAGAGAGGGGCTGTGATGTGCTCACACAACTGTTATTTTTGTTGGGGGGGGGGGTCTATAGTCATCGCTGTTACAACACTCTCTACACGTCTTAGTTGTTTTCCAATTTACTTCTGATCAACGTAGTATTTAAGATCAGAGCGTGTCCTGTTTGTGTGTGGAAGAGAAGGGGAGCCTGTGATGTGAGCTGACGTGCCTTTGGAGTGAGGGGGTTCAGCTTCTCTGTAGTGTCTGACTAAATGTTTTTGCGATAACCGTTCACCTGTTTTTGTAGATTTAAAAAAAAAAACTGTTTTCCTTCCACCTTCAGTGGTGGAATTGGGACTTTTGAAAGAAACAAGCATTGAAGGGAACTAGACCAAAGGGTTGTATTTTTTGTTGTCTTATTTTCAATTAAAAGCAAGGACTTACGTGTTCTTTTTTGTGGGGGGGGGGGGTGTAATTCAGATTGTCTTTGAATGCTTGACAGAGCGTGGCTTGGAGAGAAATGTCTCCATTGGTTTGGTCACTTTTGTTGTCCCAAGGTTTGAATAGATTAACTGCAGACTTCAAAACATTGTACAAGGATCACAATTCCAACCGAACAGAAACGACTGGCCGTTAACAGTGTATCAATATATATATTAATGATATTAGCAGTCTGTTTTGATTTTTCAAAATAAAGTTTACAAAAAATACAATTTATTGTTGTGTGCTCCTAATTTCAGGTGATTCATACAACTGTTTTATTGTTGTCATTTAATGATGAACACCAACTAATGTTACATGTCTTCACATCGTAATGTTTATGGATCAATAGGGGGGAAAAAAGTGTACAAATGCTCTTCAGCCCCAGCTTAAACAAAAAGGGAATCAGGTGCTGGACTCAAAAATATTCCTTACTTCCGGTCACTTCAACGGATGACTATCCAGGAATATAAAGAAAAATGTCTGTTTCTGCATTGATCTGATACGTTTATTATTGGGACATACAAACAGGCTTATGTTTCGGCGTAATCGCCTTCATCAGAGCCTTCAATAGAAAAGGGTGGGAGGCATCTATAAGCCTCAAGGGAATGTCCCACTCGCCATGTCAATAATAGCAATTTGTAAACAATACATCCATATAGCTCAACATGATTTACCCCACCTAGTGAGCACAAGACTGTTTAAAAAACGTTTTCAACCAAAAAGACAGTATTTTGCTCATAGGCCATGTTCTTATGCCTCCTGACTATCACCTGCCTGATTCTGAATTAAAGGCGTTGCATGGTCAATCCGATTGTCTGCATTGGCTGTGCAGCATTTACGGTGATACAGCCTCTGCAGAAGTCAGGGCATTCATACTTCTTGCGCTTTGCGGAGCAGCGTAGAGCTGTTGTCAAGAAAGTGAGTTTGTGTTTATACAGGTCCTCCCGCCCCAACCTACTGTCAACCAATCATGTCAATGCGGAGCTATACGGAGCCCCCCGCATTGTTCGAACATTTGGGAGGCGCACAGCGATGTGGTATGGAGCTCAATTTGGAATCCGGAGGCTCTGCGATTGCGTCACAACCTCCATACGGAGCCTCCGACCACATTTTGGATCAAGCATAAATTGGCTTTTAGGAAATGGATGACAGAAACAGGGCAGGCAGAGACTCTTATAATACCCTCCCTCTGAAGTCTCTATTCCCAGAGAACAAGACACTGCATAATGGAACATCTAGTATATTCACATGCAAATAATTGGTCGATGTGGACCTAATTCATTTAACAAACCCTGAACAGCTGTTTTGTATCACATAGAATATGATTTAACAGATAATCAGTTACACAATGACAGAGCTATCTTGTACAGAGATTATTATTAAATGTTAAACACAATCCCTTAAAGAACAAAATACATATTACCCTGCCATATTATTAGGAGTGAATGAATGAAGACAGACTGAAGCTGTGGCTGCTGCCTAGTGCCTGCCAATTATTTGTATATACACTAGATGACTAATACTGGGTGCTGTGTTGAAGTCAGCGTGCCTCCAACCTGGCACTCCCCCGCCGTTGTAAAAATGTTTTTGGAAGCTATAGAAATGCATTAACGTCTACATTCGTTTTTGCCACATTTATTCTACTGAACAAAAATATAAATGCAACATGTAACAATTTCAAAGATTTTACTGAGTAACAGTTCATATAAGGAAATTAGTCAATTGAAATAAATAAATTAGACCCTAATCTATGGATTTCACATGACTGGGCAGGGGTGCAGCCATGGGTGGGCCTTGGAGAGCATAGGCCCACCCACCTGGGAGCCAGGCTCAGCCAATCAATTAGTTTTTCCCCACAAAATGGCTTTATTACAGACTGAAATACTCCTCAGCACCGCCCAACCCCCCCTCAAACGATCCCGCAGGTGAAGAAGCTGGATGTGGAGGTCCTGGGCTGGCATGGTTACATGTGGTCTGCAGTTGTGAGGCCGGTTGGATGTACTGCCAAATTCTCTAAAACGACTTTGGAGGCAGCTTATGGTAGAGAAATTAACATAAAATTATCTGGAAACAGCTCTGGTGGACATTCCTGCTGTCAGCGTGCCAATTGCACGCTCCCTCAAAACTTGAGACATCTGTGGCATTGTGTTGTGTGACAAAATTGCACATTTTAGAATGGCCTTTTATTGTCCCCAGCACAAGGTGCACCTGTATAATGAGCATGCTGTTTAATCAGCTTCTTAATATGACACACCTGTCAGGTGGATGGATTACCTTGGCAAAGGAGAAATGCTCACTAACAGGGATGTAAACAGATTTGTGCACAACATTTGAGAGAAATAAGCTTTTTGTGTATATGGAACATTTCTGGGATTTTTTCTTTAAGCTCACGAAACATGGGACCAACACTTTACATTTTGCGTTTATATTTTTGTTCAGTGTATATTACTTACTCTTTAATGCATACTTTTACATTATATTATGTGAGCTAAACATAAACATTTAAAATTAAAATATAACATATACCTTAAAGTATAATTTTTTGCGATTCCTAATGTTACTATCCCCACCACAGCAAAAAAATACTTAAATACATGTAATTTTGTCCTAGCAGTCAAACAGGGAAATGGTTCCAATCATTTTCCCACTATACCTTTTTCCCATAGGGGATTTTAGAAACACATAAAATAACGGCTGTGTTTTGTGTAGACTTACCCTGGCGTGACGTTTTGATAACTGTGTAAATCTCTCTAGGACAAGGTGACTTTCATCAATATATTTGCCTGTATTTAACCCCCCAAAAATGAAATTGTAATGTGGCTGTAAGAAAGAGCTAGAAATGCCATGATGATCTGGACGAGACTGCTGAATCAAGGCAAATGTAAGAATCTCTGGATCACAGGAGGCTGCTGAGGGGAGGGCGGCTCATAATAATGGCTGGAATGGAGTGAATGGAATGGCATCAAACACATGGAAACCATTCCATTTATTCCATTCCAGCCATTACTGTGATCCCTCCTCCCCAATTAAGGTGCCACCAGCCGCCTGTGCTCTAGATTAACTGTCTAATGTTAGCTAAATGTAGTAATTAATAAATTGGCTACATTTATTTAAATGGACAATTCTGTGAACTGTCTTGTGCAAGTTTTAAATTGACACAATACCTGTTAGCAAAGGTGTCAGCTAGAGATGACGTGCAGGAGCTTGCAGGGGTTTGTAGTTTTGCATGATGTCTACTTTGATGCTAATTAGCATTTTAAAATCTGAGAGTAAATGGATCCGAATATTGATAACAGTCACCTTGTCCGAGAGAGATTTACATGGTTATCAAAACATCACGCCTACACAGACCTAATTTTTATTACACATTTTTCTTCCCAGTTGGTAGTTACAGTCTTGTCCCATCGCTGCAACACCTGTACTGACTTGGGAGAGACGAAAGTCGAGAGCCATGCGTCCTCCGAAACACGACCCTGCCAAGCCACACTGCTTGCTTAACCTGGAAGCCAGCCACACCAATGTGTGGGAAGAAACACCATACAACTGGCGCCCGGCCCACCACAGGAGCGCTAGAGCGCGATGGGACAAGGACATCCCCGGACAATTGTGCGTCACCTCATGGGTCTCCTGGTTGCAGCCGGCTGCAACACAGCCCGGGATCGAACCCGGATCTGTAGTGACGCCTCAAGCACTGCAGTGCCTTAGACCGCTGCACCACTCAGGAGCCCCTACACAGCCCTTATTTTAAGTGTTTCTAAAATCCCCTATCGGAAAAATGAATGGTGGAAAAACAATTGGAGCCATTTCCCTGTTTGACCGCTAGGTTTTATGACACCGCCACTGTGGGGCTCTATGGAGGACTTCTCCTACTGGGGAGTGCCAATATGGCCGACCGATGGCTTCAAAGCCTGTCAATGGCCAATACAAAGCATCAGCAATCCAGGGTTTATATACTCATTACATTTATCCAGAGCGACTTACAGTTAGTGAGTGCATACATTCTTTTCATTCTGGTCCCCTGTGGGAATTGAACCCACAACCCTGGCGTTGCAAGCACCATGCTCTACCAACTGAGCTACACACAGTATCAAGCAATGTCTGGGTCTGGGACATCAGTGCATCTGACATTTCACTGTACAGGGCCTTTTGGTCGTGTCTGCATAGCTACACTAATTAATTCAGCTCCTATACATACGACCAATTTAATTGTGGCAGTAACCAGATGCCTTCTCTGTGGGCTAGACAAAACAGTGTGGGTGTGCCCCTTTAAGAGAAATAGGAATTTCAGTGATTTCAATGCAACAGATTCCAGAATTCACAATAGTAGTAATGGGAAGTTCGGCTCTTTTTAATAACTTGATATTTTCGATTAATTCAGTCAAAAGAACGAATCTTTAGACTCATTTCGTTCATTTGAGTCAGTAATGCCCAGAGCACGCAGTACCCCCTACCGGCGAACAATGAACTAAAAACTCGAAATAGTCATGATTCTACAAGCCTCTCGTTTCACATAAGGGGCTTATTGGAGCTGTCATGTGACTGAGACTTGTAAAAGCGTTCTTTAAACAATGTACATTTGTTGATTGCTAGGCATACAAATAATATTATTTATTGGTACATTTGAAACGAGGTTTAGTTGTGGCCGCATCCGGACGATTCTTGGCGGAATGCATTGCTTGACTGCAGCACCCCAAACGATTCGTTCTCAAATTGGAGTTTGTTGAGCAGAGGCTGTGTATGTTTTGGTTCTACAACGTTGTGTCCATCATAACGTTCAATAATAAATTAATTGTATTCATTCTTGCACCATGCGATCAATTATCAGTTCTAAACATGTATTTTTATTTGCTATGCTGTCTGCAGCATGATAGACAGTTGGTCGGAGCTCGCCACCGGAGTTGCGCGTATTAAACGAACGAACGACTAAAATTAACGAGTCACTCAGAAAATCGAATTATGACTCCAGTCAGTAAAAAGAGTCGTTCAAAAAGCACGAATCGTTCGCGAGCTGCACATCACCACGGAGTAGCCTAGCTACCTGTCAGTAAAATAGAGCACTTCAGAACAGCAGCAGGCACCGCACTCGCATCACAGCAACACGGTGGTGGACAGAGGAATGGGGGGTAGCTAGCTAGTTAGCTAGATTTCCGAGAATAAGGAAAAGCTCACTACAATCAATCAAGATGGTGTCGTGGATTATCTCCAGGATGGTAGTGTGAGTATGGACTCAGTTTGTTGTTGTATCGGCTGTTGCCATACCACATCGCTTTCTACAGTTGCATACACTAACTACTGCTGCCATGGCTTGTGCCCAAATCGCGCACGGCCAGTTCTCTTGATAGCCAGAATGACAGCGAACGAGCTAATTTGCTAGCAATTAAATTGTCGTTGATGTATAGCCCATGGTGCTGAAATGGGCATGTTGACCACTGGTGTTTCATAAAGACAGTTTGGTAGGCAGAGAGCAAAACTAACAGGTAGTTAGCTAGCTAGCTAACATTAGCTCAAATGATAACGCTGCTAGCCAAGTGAATGTGGAATGGATTAGCTAGCTAACAAGCTTGCTTATGCCATCCACTGAAGCTAATTTGTGAATTCATATAGGGGTTGTTATTCTAAGTCAGTAAAACAAAATGCTCTAGTCTTGATTATTGCTAATCACGCATAATAGTGAATAGTGCATTTTAGTAAGGTTTGCGTGATGATGATCAAAACATGTGTCAGGAACGGCACTGCTAGCATGACACTGACATCCAGAGAAATCATTGATGCTCTTCCATTCCCACTGTCACCTCAATCGAGACAGTCAAGATTTTACCTGATTCTCATGATGTCATTTATGAAACGGGTCGAGCTGTCTACGTGACAGTGGTACTGTTTGATAAGGGCTGAGACCCAAGAGGGAGGCAGATGTCATTTGATGTTGTAATGAGCCAGCTAAGCTAGGATAGGCCTACCTGTACCCTGACAGCTAGGCTGGAGTCAACAGCTGTTTATACAGTTGAGTCATACACACACACTGTCATCACCCTACATCCTCAGAATATATCAACTCTTTGTGTTTGTTAGTCAGTGTTGTATTTAGGTGGTAGGATTTATGTGGACAGTTTACCTATCAAATTATGTTTTCATCATGTCATCAGTAGCAATTGTCATCTTGGCATGGAATGAGAGCCACAACTTTAATAGTTTTATAGTTACCTAAATCTCAGATGTAAAGAGCGGAGCTTGCCTGCCTGCTCATTTTTAAATAATAGATGTATAGATGTCATTGATGTAGCTGATTTTGCATTGGATTACATAACCAATAACATCTGAGCCAACCTTTACTTTAGTGTAGAGGGTTTAAGGCTCATTGCTTGGCAGGTAATCATGTGTTAGAGACCAAAGAAACGTAATGATTGAATGGTCCTGTAAACAAGAGGATGCTTATCCCAGGGATTAGCCAACCCTGTCTTTATCTCTGTGTACTAGTATGAAAGTCAGACTGTCATGCTCATTCTCACTTGGTATGTATGTTAGCATAAGCTTTGGGGAAATATCCCCAGTCAAACTGTGTTGTTGGGCTTGTAAAACCTCAATTGGACACTACAAGCCAAAGTGCCCAACAACAGGATGGCTATATATTTCCACTTAAAAGGGGTGTAGAATTACAGTCGATAGGTCTAATCACAGAATCTGAGCCTGGTCAGTGTTTGGTAGCCATTTGTTCTGTGTCTCCTTGGGTGCATTGAGCAGTATGGGATTGAGGAGATATGGGACAGAGCAGAGAGGAGTCTGGGAGGGAGAGAGAGAGGGACTCTGAGACATTGGGCGTCTGCTGTGGGAGTCTGAATCTTGCTGCTTGCCTGGCCTGCCACGCGTCTCCTCTTACTGGACAGCTACAGCGCAGAGTAGAGCAAAGCAGCCCTGGCAGCATTACTGGGCAAATCACAGACAGACAAAGACCCAGACAGACACATAGACTCGGTGCACACGAAAAACACATAGATGGAACAAGGGAAACCCATAGCGGAAAATATTTCCTCAGACTAAGCCTGAGAAATGAAAACATTTGGACAGAAAGGTGGAATACATTAACACAATTTAACCTAGTGGTAGAAATGCCCTTAGCCTTCACAGTAAGGTAGCAGGCGTGGTCCTCCCAGCTCTCCCCTCGCTCAGCATTCAGTTTCCTGACACATCAGCAGTAATCACCCTGCGGCCGGGCTGACAGGACAGAGTGCAATGTGTGTGTGTGTGTGTGTGTGTGTGTGTGTGTGTGTGTTGTAGGCAGATTCACATACGGTGACCTGCCGTTATCCTGTGTTTGGTCCATCTATCAGTAGCAGAAACGCTTTCCATTCTTTTCCAATCTTCTGTTTCCTGAACTGATCATTTGTTCCAACAAACCACTGCCCTTTGTTTAAATGTAACCATCTGGTATTGCAATACAGCGAGTCAGGTGCCCTAACTAGGCTAACCTAGAGGGATATTTTGAGAGCTGCCCAGAATATGGCCTACTTTCCCTCAAAGCAACCTATTTATGTTGACTCTGTGAGATCATGGGTTTTAGACTGGAGTCAGGTGTTAGGCCACATTTTACTGGATAAATATTGAAACAGAGGGAAACATTTGGTTAGTGTCAGTGTTGCCACCCAGAGGTCATGTTGCCCGGGTGATGTTGTTTACTGTACCTTAACCCCTAACCTCTGACCCATTCCTCTCTGACTCTCCTCTTCCTTCAGCCTGGCCTTCGGGACCCTCTACCCGGCCTACTCCTCATACAAGGCCGTCAAGACAAAGAATGTGAAGGAATATGTGAGTTTTGTACATACATACTGTACCTCTATTGTTGCAGTGCATTAGTATGTCTTTACAATGTCTTCAGTGATGGGCTAAATATTTTAAGTCTCTTGTAGTTATTTCAAATATTCATATTGAGATAATACAATGGACAAAGTTATGATGGTTTTAAAATGGCTTTCAGTCTTTTCAATGCGCTGCAGCAAGTTTCCATTGTCTCAGAGGATGAGAGAGCAGTTAAACAGTATCCGTTTAAAATGGGAGCCTCCCAGCTTACCTCATTCCTGTCAGGGAGCAGAGGGATAAGAAAGAGGAGGAGGAAGAGGAGGGGTGGTAGAGAAGGAGGAGCGGTGGAACTCTGTGTTCTGGCCCTCTGCCTAGCTCCACCAAGCTCTCTCCTCTCCGGAGCCTTCTCCTCCCTCTGGTTGCTATGGAAACCCCCCCATCTCAATATCTTAGCTGGGGCACATGCAGACAGAGAGAGGGAGGGAGAGATACAGAGGACATTTTTAGCCCTGTTGTTTTTATAAATGTTTTCCCTCCCATCTCTTATTTTTCTTGCTCTCTCGCTATCCTTTTCAATTTTTTCCTTTAATGATTCAACAGTAGAAATACTAATTATATAACATCACACATTTGGCATGTGCTTTGTTCCTACAGTGCATTCGGAAAGTATTCAAACCCCTTGACTTTTTCCACAATTTGTTACGTTACAGCCTTATTCTAAAATTGATTTAATAAAAACATTTCCTCATCAATCTACACACAATACCCCATAATGACAAAGCAAAAACAGTTATTTAAATGGTTGCAAATAAAAAAGAGAGACGTTATTTACGTAAGTATTCAGACCCTTTGCTATGAGTCTCGAAATTGATTGGACATGATTTGGAAAGGCACACTCCACCAATCAGGCCTTTACTCCTCAGTAAAAGGCACATGACAGCCCACTTGGGAGTTTGCCAAAAGGCACCTAAAGGACTCTGACCATGAGAAACAAGATTCTCTGATTCTCTTTGGCCTGAATGCTAAGCGTCACTTCTGGAGGAAACCAGGCACTGCTCATCACCTGGCCAATACCATCCCTACGGTGAAGCATGGTGGTGGCAGCATCATGCTGTGGATATGTTTTTCAGCTGCAGGGACTGGGAGACTAGTCAGGATCAAGGGAAAGATGAATGGAGCAAAGTACAGAGAGATCCTTGATGAAAACCTACTCCAGAGCACTCAGTACCTCAGACTGGGGTGAAGGTTCACCTTCCAACAGGACAATGACCCTAAGCACACAGCCAAGACAACGCAGGAGTGGCTTCGGAACAAGTCTCTGAATATCCTTGAGTGGCCCAGCCAGAGCCCGGACTTGAACCCGATCGAACATCTCTGGAGCGACCTGAAAATAGCTGTGCAACGACGATCCCCAACCAACCTGACAGAGCTTGAGAGGATCTGCAGAGAAAAATGGGAAAAACTCCCCAAATACAGGTGTGCAAAGCTTGTAGCGTCATACCCAAGAAGACTCGAGGCTGTAATCGTTGCCAAAGGTGCTTCAACAAAGTACTGAGTAAAGGGTCTGAATACTTATGTGAATGTGATATTTTCGTTTTGTATTTGTAAAGAACGTGCTAAAATGTCTAAAAACCTGTTTTTGCTTTGTTGTTATGGTGTATTGTGTGTAGATTGATGAGAAAAAATAAACATTGAATCCATTTTAGAATAAGGCTGTAACGTAACAAAATGTGGAAAAAGTCAAGGGGTCTGAATACTTTCCGAATGCACTGTATGACATAAAAATATGACTCATCCTCTCAGGCTATTCAATGCATTCCCTAGCTGGGTTTAGTGCTTTATATTTTTCATATGCCGATATATATATATATATAGATGAAATGTTTTAACTCTGTCAGTGTGACATTTAGGATTCATCCACATCATCTCGCTATTTACAGTTGAAGTCGTAAGTTTACATACACTTAGGTTGGAGTCATTAAAACTTGTTTTTCAACCACTCCACAAATTTCTTGTTAACAAACTATCGTTTTGGCAAGTTGGTTAGGACATCTACTTTGTGCATGATACAAGTAATTTTTCCAACAATTGTTTACAGACAGATTATTTCACTTATAATTCAATGTATCACAATTCCAGTGGGTCAGAAGTTTACATACACTAAGTTGACTGTGCCTTTAAATAGCTTGGGAAATTCCAGAAAATGATGTCATGGCTGTAGAAGCTTCTGATAGGCTAATTTACATCATTTGAGTCAATTGGAGGTGTACCTGTAGATGTATTTCAAGGCCTACCTTCAAACTCAATGCCTCTTTGCTTGACATCATGGGAAAATCAAAAGAAATCAGCCAAGACCTCAGATTTTTTTTTTGTCATTCTTGGGAGCAATTTCCAAACGCCTGAAGGTACCACGTTCATCTGTTCAAACAATAGTACGCAAGTATAAACTCCATGGGACCACGCAGCCGTCATACCGCTCAGGAAGGAGACACGTTCTGTCTCCTAGAGATGAATGTGCTTTGGTGTGAAAAGTGCAAATCAATTCCAGAACAACAGCAAAGGACCTTGGGAAGATGCTGGAGGAAACAGGTACAAAAGTATCTATATCCACAGTAAAACGAGTCTTATATCGACATAAGCTGAAAGGCTGCTCAGCAAGGAAGAAGCCACTGCTCCAAAACCGCTATAAAAAAGCCACACTACGGTTTGCAACTGCACATGGGGATAAAGATCGTACTTTTTCGAGAAATGTCCTCCGGTCTGATGAAACAAAAATAGAACTGTTTGGCCATAATGACCATCGTTATGTTTGGTGGGGGTACTTGCAAGCCGAAGAAACCCATTCCAACCGTGAAGCACGGGGTTGGCAGCATCATGCTGTGAGGGTGCTTTGCTGCAGGAGGGACTGGTGCATGAGGAAGGAAAATGATGTGGATATATTGAAGCAACATCTCAAGACATCAGTCAGGAAGTTAAAGCTTGGTCGCAAATGGGTCTTCCAAATGGACAATGACCCCAAGCATACTTCCAAAGTTGTGGCAAAATGGCTTAAGGACAACAAAGTCAAGGTATTGGAGTGGCCATCACAAAGCCCTGACCTCAACCCTATAGAACATTTGTGGCCAGAACTGAAAAAGCGTGTGCAAGCAAGGAGGCCTACAAACCTGACTCAGTTACACCAGCTCTGTCAGGAGGAATGGGCCAAAATTCACCCAACTTATTGTGGGAAGCTTGTGGAAGGCTACCCAAAACGTTTGACCCAAGTTAAACAATTTAAAGGCAATGCTACCAAATACTAATTGAGTGTATGTAAACTTCTGGGAATGTGATGAAAGAAATAAAAGCTGAAATAAATGATTCTCTCTACTATTATTCTGACATTTCACATTCTTAAAATAAAGTGGTGATCCTAACTGACCTAAGACAGGGAATTTTTACTAGGATTAAATGTCAGGAATTGTGAAAAACTGAGTTTAAATGTATTTGGCTAAGGGGTACGTAAACTTCCGACTTCAACTTCATATTGCAGTAATTGATGACACACACTCCGTCCTATGTTTGGCAGTGATCAACCATGCATACTGATTCGGTCTATGAAGGCCCTAACTAGATATGTTGTGTTTATGACTATGCATGCGTGTGTCTGTGTGTGTGTGTGTGTGTGTGTGTGTGTGTGTGTGTGAGAGAGAGAGATGCGTGGCTGTACATGTGTCTTGTCACTGCTTACTGTAGGCTATGCTTTGGTCTATATGTGATGCGCTCTCCCCTCTATATCCTGTGTGTGTGTGTCCAGGTGAAATGGATGATGTACTGGATAGTGTTTGCGTTATTCACGACGGTGGAGACCCTCACAGACTTGTTCATGTCCTGGTGAGTCACGCGGGTCATCTCTGACCACTGCCCTACAGCCACTTACAACAATAGCCCCTAGGACCATCCATATGAAAAACAATATACACTATATGGCCAAAAGTGGACAGCCCTTCAAATTAGTGGATTCGGCTATTTCAGCCACACCCGTTGCTGACAGGTATATAAAATCGAGCACACCGCCATGCAATCTCCATAGACAAACATTGGCAGTAGAATGGCCTTACTGAAGAGCTCAGTGACTTTCAATGTGGCACAGTCATAGGATGCCACCCTATCAATCAGTTTGTCGAATTTCTGCCCTGCTAGAGCTGCCCCGTGCTGTTATTGTGAAGTGGAGATGTCTAGGAGCAACAACGACTCAACCGCGAAGTGGTAGGCCACACAAGCTCACAGAATGGGATTGCCAAGTGCTGAAATGTGTAGCGCGTACAAAATCGTCTATCCTCTGTTGCAACACTCACTACTGATTTCCAAACTGCCTCTGGAAGCAACGTCAGCACAATAACTGTTGGTAGGGAGCTTCATGAAATTGGTTACCAGCGTTGGCTGGAGTGGTGTAAATCTCACCGCCATTGGACTCTGGAACAGTTCTCTGGAGTGATGAATCACAATTCCCAATCTGGCAGACCGACGGACGAATCTGGGTTTGGCGGATGCCAGGAGAACGCTACCTGCCCGAATGCAAAGTGCCAATTTTAAAGGTTGGTGGAGGAGGAATAATGGTCTGGGGCTGCTTTTCATGGTTCGGGCTAGTCCCCTTCCAGTGAAGCGAAATCTTAACGCTACAGCATACAATGACATTCTAGACTTTGTGGCAACCGTTTGGGGAAGGACCTATCCTGTTTCAGCATGACAATGCCCCTGTGCACAAAATGAGGTCAATACAGAAATGGATTGTCGAGATCGGTGTGGAAGAACTTGACTGACCTGCACAGAGCCCTGACCGCAACCCCATCGAACACCTTTGGGATGAATTGGAACACCGAACGCGAGTCAGTGCCCGACCTCACTAATGCTCGTGGCTGAATGGAAGCAAGTCCCCGCAACAATGTTCCAACATCTAGTGAAAAGCCTTCCCAGAAGAGTGGAGGCTGGTATAGCAGCAAAGGGGGAACCAACTCCATATTAATGCCCATGATTTTGGAATTAGATGTTTGACGAGCAGGTGTCCACATACTTTTGGGCATTTAGTGTGTGTATATATACGTTTGAAAATACATATTTTTGGTTGAAAAGCTGTTAAATGTATTTTCAACATGTGTTCACTAGAATTGCTATATTTAAATCAACTTCAATTTTGATTGTCTACATTTGTCATGGTGTATTGTCTTCAGAAAAGTACCAGGATATCAGAGCAAACGCTTGTTACACCCTGAAAGAGGAAATAATGATATTGTTTCAGTAAAATTGTAGCCTACGTCCATTCTTCTGTCCTGTCTATTAACTCTCCTGTTGGTGTGGTTGGCCATGCAGGTTTCCTTTCTACTTTGAGCTGAAGATAGCCTTTGTGATCTGGCTCCTGTCTCCGTACACTAAGGGCTCCAGCGTGCTCTACCGCAAGTTTGTCCACCCCACCCTGTCCAATAAGGAGAAGGTAACGTCTAACCCTGTCCAATAAGGAGAAGGTAACGTCTAACCCTGTCCAATAAGGAGTAAGGTAACGTCTAACCCTGTCCAACAAGGAGAAGGTAACGTCTAACCCTGTCCAACAAGGAGAAGGTAACGTCTAACCCTGTCCAACAAGGAGAAGGTAACGTCTAACCCTGTCCAATAAGGAGAAGGTAACGTCTAACCCTGTCCAACAAGGAGAAGGTAACGTCTAACCCTGTCCAACAAGGAGAGGGTAATGTCTAACCCTGTCCAATAAGGAGAGGTAACGTCTAACCCTGTCCAACAAGGAGAAGGTAAACGTCTAACCCTGTCCAACAGGAGAGGGTAAGTCTAACCCTGTCCAACAAGGAGAAGGTAACGTCTAACCCTGTCCAATAAGGAGAAGGTAACGTCTAACCCTGTCCAACAAGGAGAAGGTAACGTCTAACCCTGTCCAACAAGGAGAAGGTAACGTCTAACCCTGTCCAACAAGGAGAAGGTAACGTCTAACCCTGTCCAACAAGGAGAAGGTAACGTCTAAACCCTGTCCAACAAGAGAAGGTAACGTCTACCCTGTCCACAAGGAGAAGGTAACGTCTAAACCCTGTCCAATAAGGAGAAGGTAACGTCTAACCCTGTCCAATAAGGAGAAGGTAACGTCTAACCCTGTCCAATAAGGAGAAGGTAACGTCTAACCCTGTCCAACAAGGAGAAGGTAACGTCTAACCCTGTCCAACAAGGAGAAGGTAACGTCTAACCCTGTCCAACAAGGAGAAGGTACGTCTAACCCTGTCCACAAGGAGTAGGTAACGTCTAACCCTGTCCAACAAGGAGAAGGTAACGTCTAACCCGGTCCAACAAGGAGTAGGTAACGTCTAACCCTGTCCAACAAGGAGAAGGTAACGTCTAACCCTGTCCAACAAGGAGTAGGTAACGTCTAACCCTGTCCAACAAGGAGAAGGTAACGTCTAACCCTGTCCAACAAGGAGAAGGTAACGTCTAACCCTGTCCAACAAGGAGAAGGTAACGTCTAACCCTGTCCAACAAGGAGAAGGTAACGTCTAACCCTGTCCAACAAGGAGAAGGTAACGTCTAACCCTGTCCAATAAGGAGAAGGTAACGTCTAACCCTGTCCAATAAGGAGAAGGTAACGTCTAACCCTGTCCAACAAGGAGAGGTAACGTCTAACCCTGTCCAATAAGGAGAAGGTAACGTCTAACCCTGTCCAATAAGGAGAAGGTAACGTCTAACCCTGTCCAATAAGGAGAAGGTAACGTCTAACCCTGTCCAATAAGGAGAAGGTAACGTCTAACCCTGTCCAATAAGGAGAAGGTAACGTCTAACCCTGTCCAATAAGGAGAAGGTAACGTCTAACCCTGTCCAATAAGGAGAAGGTAACGTCTAACCCTGTCCAATAAGGAGAAGGTAACGTCTAACCCTGTCCAAAAGGAGAAGGTAACGTTAACCTGTCCAACAGGAGAGGTACGTTAACCCTGTCCAATAAGGAGAAGGTAACGTCTAACCCTGTCCAATAAGGAGAAGGTAACGTATAACCCTGTCCAACAAGGAGCAGGTAACGTCTAACCCTGTCCAATAAGGAGAAGGTAACATCTAACCCTGTCCAATAAGGAGAAGGTAACGTCTAACCCTGTCCAATAAGGAGTAGGTAACGTCTAACCCTGTCCAACAAGGAGTAGGTAACGTCTAACCCTGTCCAACAAGGAGAAGGTAACGTCTAACCCTGTCCAATAAGGAGAAGGTAACGTCTAACCCTGTCCAATAAGGAGAAGGTAACGTCTAACCCTGTCCAACAAGGAGTAGGTAACGTCTAACCCTGTCCAACAAGGAGAAGGTAACGTCTAACCCTGTCCAATAAGGAGAAGGTAACGTCTAACCCTGTCCAATAAGGAGAAGGTAACGTCTAACCCTGTCCAACAAGGAGTAGGTAACGTCTAACCCTGTCCAATAAGGAGAAGGTAACGTCTAACCCTGTCCAATAAGGAGAAGGTAACGTCTAACCCTGTCCAATAAGGAGAAGGTAACGTCTAACCCTGTCCAATAAGGAGAAGGTAACGTCTAACCCTGTCCAACAAGGAGAAGGTAACGTCTAACCCTGTCCAACAAGGAGAAGGTAACGTCTAACCCTGTATAACAAGGAGAAGGTAACGTCTAACCCTGTCCAACAAGGAGAAGGTAACGTCTAACCCTGTCCAACAAGGAGTAGGTAACGTCTAACCCTGTCCAACAAGGAGTAGGTAACGTCTAACCCTGTCCAATAAGGAGAAGGTAACGTCTAACCCTGTCCAACAAGGAGAATGTAACGTCTAACCCTGTCCAATAAGGAGAAGGTTAGATGTCACAGTAAGATCCAGCTCTCTGTCAATCTGTCAATTCTCAATTGTTTAGGTGCAGTGAGTCATACAGTATGTTTCTCTCTCTCTTTCTGTCTTTCTGTCTCACTTCTTTCCCTCTCGCTCCTTTTTTTGTCTCCCTTTTTTATTTCTCTCTCTTTCTCCCCCCACCCCCCACCCCCCGTCTGTAGGAGATCGATGAGTACATCACCCAGGCTAAAGACCGTAGTTATGAGACTATGATGAGGTTTGGGAAGAGAGGTCTGAACTTGGCTGCTACTGCTGCCGTCACCGCAGCTAGCAAGGTAAGCAAGGCCCTGGCCCTGACCAGAGGGGTGTGTGTGTGTGTGTGTCATCATGTTTGAGATGTGTATGCTCTGCAGGGTAATGTGTGTGTGTGTGTGTGTGTGTGTGTGTGTGTGTGTCTGTCTGCACATGGTGTTTCCTTGTGTGAGTGTGAAGCTATATTTCGTCCCATGGGCATGTACCATGCTGTGATTTTTCGATTGCATTGCATTTGCATTGATATCAGAGTGATTCGAGGGACAGTAGAGCGCTGAGTACCAGCCATAAGCGACTGGTTGTTAGCAAGTTTGGTAAGCTACTAATGACAATCAGCTGCATCAGAGGACAGTTTTGAGAAGCCTAGTTACCTTGCCTAAACGTCACGTGGAATTTGACTGCGGTCATGACTGGTGACTGCCAGTGTGGCTGCAATATGGTCACCGTAACTGCCCTAGTCATACGTTGGCATACCAATACGTCTGTATATCAATGTTGTTAGTGATAGTGTCTATTGCATAGTTTGAGAGCTCTTGCCAAGAAATTACTCTGGTGTCTTGTAGGGTTGGGCGATATTACGATATAATCGGAAATCAATTATGTTTGACAGACATCATCGATGGCAACGACATCATGATGTGACAGATGATCGTTTTTATATATTTCGATTTTTTTACAGACGAGGGTTTAACCTATTTGAACTTGACTGGCACCGCTGGAGTCTGGCAGCGCACAGCCGGGCGACATGCCAAATGACTTACCCCTGTTTGTCATAGCCTTTTTCAATAAATATGTAGGTAGACTTAGCCTACTATTAACATAATGCAAGAGTAGGCCTAAAATCTAGATTGTAGACGGAGTGGAGAGTGCCAATAGCAGCGCAAAATGTTAGATAACATTTATCTCGCTCACCTCTCCAATGTCGGATGATCATTTGCCTTTTGCAGCGGACATGTTTTAAAAGCTTCATTTCCCTTTTTGTCCCAATCACCATTATATTTGAATGTGACTTTTTTGCCTAAGCATATCTTTCATGATCAACTTTCAAATGAATCTAGGAGGCCAGTAACAAGCGTTATATCTCAGAAAGTTTTATGCTTGTGAATAGCCTAAATAAAAACGCATGGTAATAATGAGAGCGAGAGAGAACTAACAATTGCAAGATGGAATAATCGAATGGGAAGTTTAAACAAACCTTATAAGTTTCTGGCCTCCACCTGAACAAAGCTTTAGGATAAACAAATTGTGTGCCGTAAACTTCGTAAATTGTACAAGTAAACTTCTAAACAGATATTTATATTATTGTGGAAGTGTTCATTCAAATCCTTGAATTGTGCAACGGGCATTACATGAGCCCCCACAGCAGCGCTTTCGATAAGCGGGAACAAAAAAGAAATGTCGCCTATAAAAAGAATAACCCACATTTGGATAGGCTACAAATGACTAAATAAGTACGAAATTAACCAAATGAATGACAGTGAAAATACGTTTAAGACACACAATGTAATGTTTTAGCCTAGGATACATTTATTTAGAATAAGATGCATCTGTGAATACAGGCTTTGAAAATTAAACAAATAAAGTGCAATTTAGAACCATTACGACTATTTTCTTTTCATTATATATTAACTTACCTAAAGGCTTCTGGCAAGGAAAACAAGCATGTTCACCTTTCCTGGCTTTAATAGACTGCGGAGTGGGGTAACAATATTGCCTACTGAAAACACATTCAGACGGAACGCTTTTTGCACAGATGCAGAGATATTTGTGGCCGATGTTGGCCAAGAGCGGAAAGCGACCCTTCATTCGCTCTCCACCATGCCAGTGGGTCATCATCTCCTCCAATTACATTTTAGAGTAGGTAGGATGTGAGCTCTGCGGTGGCCGGCTGTTGCGCACAGAGTGTGACTGTTTGCTCTCCCAAGAAGACTGCCCAGTGATGTCTTCTATGGTGAACATGCGCACTCGATCTCGAAATTGTCCTAAATCACCATTGAAAAGGTCTTGTATCACGCTGAAGGCCTACAATGGTTGGTTCTAAATCACCATTCAAAGTTATCGGTGTCACATATCACCATATGATTGGTTGATATTTATTTATTTGCACACAAGAAAATACAATATTGGAAAGATGATTTCCACATTGTAGTCTAATGATTAGATTCTTATCTGGTGGTTTGTGCATGACACAGATCGTTTACTGCGTTGCTAGCCAACGCAATGACGCACTCCCCCCCATCCCTGGGTAAAAATAGATGATACAATGGTATATCAACAATGTTTGGACAGGTGGATGAGAGAAAGTGTCATTCCAGGCATCGCCCAACCATAGTGTCTTGACGTGTGTGTGTTCTGCAGGTGTGTGCTCTTATGATCATGTGATGCTGCAGGGCGTCTGTCTGGGTCAGGGTTTCCGTTAGGAAAATGTGGCACAAGACATTTGACCGGCAGCATTTAAATTTACTGGACATTTGAGAAATGTACCCGAACCCATATGGATTGGGTGCGTAACCTGATAAGGGCGTCCACCCATGTTACTCAGAATGACAGAAATCCCATTTGTAGTATGGTAATTCATTGTAACAGAACATGCAACTCGAGGTGTGCGTCTTCTTACCAAATTCCAATGCTCACTTTGAAGATGTTAGAATAACTGTCCACATGTACTTTTCCTCAGCCAACAAAACAAGTAACGAACATCAAAATCACTAGCCTATGTCAATCTACTATCCCCCGTAGTAGAAACGTTGACCTATTCTATTAGTCAGCTTGTTGTTCTGTGCGAGAAAGAAATAGCCTATTCCAAAACAGACTGGGAAATGTTGTGGGATGATGGATCCCAAAATTATACAACCAGTAGGCCTAGGCTACATAAAAAAAATTTAATATGGAAGTCTTTATCAAATAATTTAGGATATTCTACTTTGAAGCAAGGTAAGACATGCCACATAATATGAAGTAAAACGTTCAGGTTTCAAACAATTAAGTATAGTGTGTGTGATGCGCTGAAGCCTGCCTTCCATTGTCATTGCACTTGAATGGCGAATGGGAAGCATGCTTCAATTACCAGTTGAGAAATAAAAATAGTAGCTATTTTTAGTCGTGGCTATCAACTGTTTTTAACACGTGATTGCATTTATAATTGTTGCGCAATGATTGGGCTTATAAAATCACGTTTCACTCCAGCTGCAACCAACAAGCAGGTTGAGGAGCTGGACAGATTTTTCCGCTCAAATAAAGGTTCTGTATCTGTATGCTGTGCGCGTGTGATAAATAAGATAGGCTACATAACGAAAATACACACGCAGCAATTTAATACCACCAAAGTATGGAAATTAACCTATAGACCGATAAGCATGACCGGTCAAATGTATTTCCATCTATGAAGAGGCTAAAAAGCATTATTTTGCAATGGGATTCTTTCTTCTTCTCCCGGACGATTATTCGGCGCCAATTGTATTTATCAGCTTTTTATTTTTTTATCGGCCAACAGCCGATTTAAAAACCCTGGTCTGTATATGCGTACATCTATACCCCACCGTGTTTGAGGTGTGTGTGTTGTGTGTGTTGTGCAGGGCCAGGGTGTGCTGTCGGACAAGCTGCGTAGTTTCAGCATGCAGGACCTGACTCTGATCAACGACGGGGAGGAGATGGGCCTGCGCTCCTCTGACCCCCGCATGAGGAGAGATGCCATGGACGACATGGCTACTGGAGCCAGCACGCTGCCCCGCGCCAAGACCACGCGCCAGAGTAGGTACCACACACACACACACACTTGACTTGGGGGATATCCAGATTGTCATATCGTCATAGCACACAAGGGGCCGCTAAAAACGTAAGAAAAGCCCATTGGGCCTCTATTACCAGAATTCTAACAAAATTAGCACAAACTAATAGTGAAATCACATAGACGCTGTTAGCAAAATGCTAACGAGCTAAAGCGAACATAAACTAATTACAAAGACCGGCAAATCCAGCTCCTAAAGTTATACAAGCATAGCTAGTAGCTACCGAATGTACTTTTCTGTGAGTGTGGACATTTACAATCGAAAGTGAATGAGAGAAACGTGCAAAGGAACAAAGTTGTGATGCATGCTTTTCTGAAGGAAGAGCTGCATGTGTACACAGAGCAGAGGGGAGAAGAACAGAGAAAAAAAAACGATAGTAGGAAGATCAGGGGGAAAATGGCAGCTGTACAGAACTAATCCAGAGCTCTTTTTTTATATTTGTTATTTTTATGGGGGTTCCAGAAAATGATGCCATGGCTTTAGAAGCTTCTGATAGGCTAATTGACATCATTTGAGTCAATTGGAAGTGTACCTGTGGATGTATTTCAAGGCCTACCTTCAAACTCAGTGCCTCTTTGCTTGACATCATGGGAAAATCAAAAGAAATCAGCCAAGATCTCAGGAAATAAATTGTAGACCTCCACAAGTCTGGTTCATCATTGGGAGCAATTTCCAAATGCCTGAAGGTACCATGTTCATCTGTACAAACAATAGTACGCAAGTATAAACACCATGGGACCACGCAGCCGTCATACCGCTCAGGAAGGAGACGCGTTCTGTCTCCTAGAGATGAACGTACTTTGGTGCGAAAAGTGCAAATCAATCCCAGAACAACAGCAAAGGACCTTGTGAAGATGCTGGGGGAAACGGGTACAAAAGTATCTATATCCACAGAAAAACGAGTCCTATATCGAAATAACCTGAAAGGCCGCTCAGCAAGGAAGAAGCCACTGCTCCAAAACCACCATAAAAAAGCCAGACTACGGTTTGCAACTGCACATGGGGACAAAGATCGTACTTTTTGTCCTCCGGTCTGATGAAACAGAAATAGAACTGTTTGGCCATAATGACCATCATTATGATTGGAGGAAAAAGGGGGACGCTTGCAAGCCGAAGAACACCATCCCAACCGTGAAGCACGGGGGTGGCAGCATCATGCTGTGGGGGTGCTTTGCTGCAGGAGGGACTGGTGCACTTCACAAAATAAATGGCATCATGAGGAAGGAAAATTATGTGGATATATTGAAGCAACATCTCAAGACATCAGTCAGGAAGTTAAAGCTTGGTCACAAATGGGTCTTCCAAATGGACAATGACCCCAAGCATACTTCCAAAGTTGTGGCAAAATGGCTTAAAGACAACAAAGTCAAGGTATTGGAGTGGCCATCACAAAGCCCTGACCTCAATCCTATAGAACATTTGTGGGCAGAACTGAAAAGGCGTGTGCGAGCAAGGAGGCCTACAAACCTGACTCAGTTACACCAGCTCTGTCAGGTGGAATGGGCCAAAATTCACCCAACTTATTGTGTGAAGCTTGTGGAAGGCTACCCAAAACGTTTGACCCAAGTTAAACAATTTAAAGACAATGCTACCAAACAGTGGTGGCTCCTGAAAAAATTCTCAGGAGGGGCAATTTTTCTGATGATTTAGGTGACCTACACACATTTAAAAAAAAGATATGTCCAGCAACAACATGAAGACAGGGGCAGCATATAAGTCAATACCAGAAGCATTTATTGACTGATCTCAAAAGTGTTGGCTTACCAGGGTTGGTGGAGCCCTCAGTTTCATCTTTGCCTCGCAAAGCTAACTCAAACACTCCGCAAAACTTCACACACTGGATTAGCCGGCTGAGGATGTGGCGGTTCTTGCTAATGTCGTAGTAAATATATTTGTTATAGTGAATATGGAATATGATATGTTGAGTAAAATGTTGTGCTAAGATCTATTTAGGTCAGGAGCTGGTTATAAGTTCTGTTCCTATCCAATAACAATGGACAAAAGGGTCCTATCTTGTCAGCCTTGTCAGCAGGTGGCCAAGGACAACACCCACGCCATAGGCCTCTCAGTTCTTCCAACTCACGAGTTCTTGCTCTGAGGACACACACACACACAAACACACACACACACACACACATCATCACTGTTAAACACACACACACACACACACATCATCACTGTTAAACACACACACACACACACACACAAAAATCCCCTCTCTTAGGCTGAACATTTGAAGACAGAGAACCCGACTCAGAGCCAATGCAACAGTGACAGTAGCCTGGAGGTGACCTCGCCCAACTCATCAGGACCAATCAGAAGATCAGAACTACTAGATTGAACCTACTTAATTTATTGCATAAAATGTCTGCACACAATGTTTCGGGGCTCTCTTCAGATAATAATAATAATAATAATAATAATAATATGCCATTTAGCAGACGCTTTTATCCAAAGCGACTTACAGTCATGCGTGCATACATTTTTACGTATGGGTGGTCCCGGGGATCGAACCCACTACCTTGGCGTTACAAGCACCATGCTCTACCAGCTGAGCTACAGAAAGTGGATACTCATGGATGCGCATTGCAATTGTAAAATGTCAACACAATTGGAGACACCACGTCATTTTTGGAGACATGTTATTGACAGTAAACTATTGTAGATGCGACTGCTAACTAAATAAAACATTTTAGCTGGCTAGCTAATCATCTTAGCTAAATGTGGGGCAAACAATTCAGTTATTTACCGTTAATTTGAGGGATTGGGGTGAAAGAAATCGAGTTACATAGTGATACTTTACGATATACTGTATTGACAATATCGCAATATTTTAGCGCTAGTTGGCTGTACCTGCACCAAAACACCATTATTGTTCCTTCATAGCTTGTTCTCAATCTTTTCACATTGGGAGCCAATTAGTTTTCAGCACTTTTATTTCCATGACTGATCAAAACTCGTTCTCATGGCTTTCTGATCCCTCTGCAACAGACATATGGTGCGCAATAAAATCACAGTATCGAATCGCAATACGTATAGAATCATGAGACTCGCAATGCTGATGCATATATCTTATCGTGAGGTTCCTGGCAATTCCCAGGCCAAGTTCATTTGCCACAACAAATCTCTTCGCTAGCAAACGCGATGTCTTCTCCAAAACGACAATGTGTCTCCAGCAATGTTTACTTTTTTGACGTTCTATGGCATCTCCACTTTCCAAGCATATATGACCACATGTAATATTTTGGTAAGTGATGCAAATAGTGAACTATGTAGGGCCAGGATGTAAAATATATGTAGCTGCAGCAATTTCTCTTATCTGATATGGTAAGTAATGGGGCTTAATGTATAGCTCCCTAAGAGTTTGACGAACGGGTCCGTGAACGCGATTCCAGATATATTTACCTCTGAATAAACTGCCTTTATTACACCATATCCACATCCAGTAAACTTGTGATTATCAACACTAACCTCATCGTTGTGGCGGCGGACAGCTAGCCTGTATCCCTCGTCATCCAGTTGAGTGAGTGGCAATGTCTTTTTTCGTTCGTACCAATTTTTGGAAAATCCTCGGGTGTAGGACTTTCCGCCTTTAGTAGAAACCTGTTGAATTATTAAATTTGGTCTGGGAGGTCCTAATTGTTTCGTTGCCAATTTATCTTAATTTGTTCGCCGACAAAAAGGAACTTCTTTCAAAGACACAATCGAGTTGGACTGAAGCCTAGCCATTTTGATAGTAGTAGTGAATTGATTGAGGCTGCTACCTGGTCTTTTCTTAGTTACGTTCATTCGTGGTTACGTTATGTATGACGAAAGCGCGTAAGTGCAAGCCCACAGACACCCATAGAGAATGTATTGAAAGCTTTGAAATGTGAAAAAAATAGATTTTACATGACAGGCTATGAGAGACTTCTGGGCGATTTTCAACCTGACTGAAATCGCCCAAAAAACGGGCGGGGCCATTTGAAGCACGACTTTAGCCTGATTTGACATTTAGTGGCTGTCAGATCAGACGTGAACACTGATAACTGCTGTTGCCGTGATATAATTTTTTATAAATTTATAAAAAAAAAAATAATAATATTTTTTATTTTTTATAATTGATTAGAAAAAAAATCCCTTCCTTTTCCCGTTTGGCAGTGCGTCGCCCATATCGCCCTATTGAACAAGCCGTCCCTGCTACCAAATACTAATTGAGTGTACGTAAACTTCTGACCCACTGGGAATGTGATGAAATAAATAAAAGCGGAAATAAATAATTCTCTCTACTATTATTCTGACGTTTCACATTCGAAAAAATAAAGTGGTGATCCTAACTGACCTAAGACAGGGCATTTTTACTATGATTAAATGTCAGGAATTGTGAAAAACTGAATTTAAATGTACAGTCGTGGTCAAAGGTTTTGAGAATGGCACAAGTATTGGTCTTCACAAAGTTTGCTGCTTCAGTGTTTTTAGATATTTTTATCAGATGTTACTATGGTATACTGAAGTATAATTACAAGCATTCCATAAGTGTCAAAGGCTTTTATTGACAATTACATTATGTTTATGCAAAGAGTCAATATTTGCAGTGTTGACCCTTCTTTATCAAGACCTGGCATGCTGTCAATTAACTTCTGGACCACATCCTGACTGATGGCAGCCCATTCTTGCATAATCAATGCTTGGAGTTTGTCAGAATTTGTGGGTTTTTGTTTGTCCACCCGCCTCTTGAGGATCGACCACAAGTTCTCAATGGGATTAAGGACTGGGGAGTTTCCTGGCCATGGACCCAAAATGTCGATGTTTTATTCCCCGAGCCACTTAGTTATCAATTTTGCCTTATGGCAAGGTGCTCCATCGTGCTGGAAAAGGCATTGGTCGTCACCAAACTGTTCTT